CCCAGCGTGTCCCAGGCTGCGACCCTGAAGAGCGTGACTCGAGCCCAGGAGACGTCTGGTTGGCCGTCGGCGCCCGTCTGCTCAGACATGGACGCTCTGAAACACATGCTGTACACGGGCACCGAGACCAGAGAAGCCCGGGAGAAAGTGCTGCAGGAGGTGGTGAGGCTGAGGGTGAAGCAGGAGGAGAAGCTGGCCGCAGCCGTCCAGGCCAAACGCAGCCTCCAGCAGGTACCACGTCCTGACCGTCCACCCACCGCAGGCGTCCAGGCCGTCCCACGTCACTGTGTTCATTTGTTGTCTGGTGTTTTTCACAGGAACTGGAGTTTGTGAGGGTGGCCAAGAAAGGGCGCCTCCGTGAGGCCGTCGAGGCTAAACGCAACCTGCGAAAGGAGATTGAGCGCCTCCGTGTGGATTGGGGGAGGAAGATGAGGGACGCGGAGGAGTCTTGTGATCGGCTGAAGAGAGAGTTGGAGAGAGAGAGAGCGCTGAGAGTGTGCGACAAAGGCTGTGAGGCGGAGCATCTGAGAGTCAAGTACTCCACTCAGGTACCGCGTCGCCGAGAATCCTCCAGAAAAATGACAGAATCTCTGAAAAGTATCGTTAACATTTCTTTACAAACGGACTCGAGTATTTGAACTTGTGTACTCACTGGTACTGAGTACTGTCACAAATACTTCTTCAGGTTGAGTTTCAATAAATATACAATGACTTAAAAGGTGGCACAGCTGTGTGTGTGTGTGTGTGTGTGTGAGACGACACCAAACAGGGACATGTTTACAGCCAGGACCAGACGGTTCTTTCAGTCCAAACACCGTGGTCACATTAGACCACGTGACCATCAGAGGAAAAAGATAAAACACATGGTTAACACAGTCAGTCAAACAGGAAGTGGGCGGAGCTTTGACACCGCATCACCTGACCGCAGTATTTTAGCCAGTATTTAGCCAGTATTTGAGGTATCGGTATCATCTCTGACCTTCAGCTCTTCTGTCGTTGCTCTGCAGATTGAGGAGTTGCACGTGCAGCTCCAGCAGGCGGAGTCCGACCGGGAGGAGCTGAGGAAGGAGCTCCAGGAGGAGAAGGAGGCGCGGCAGAGTCTGGAGAGTGTCGTTAAGGAGCTCCAGGTCCAGCTGTCGCTGCAGGCTGACAGCTGTCCCCCCGGAGACTGCAGGGACACAAACACAAACAAACACAGACACACCACACAAGTCAGCGACGGATCCTAGAGACGCACGCACGCCCAGGATCGGACAGAAGGGCGGCACCAAAGGAGCACGGCCGAGGACCGGCACCTCCTGTGTTTGATAAGGACAGACCGAGGAGACTCTGTCGTGTTTAGTATCGCAGACTTAACAAACTGGAACGTAGCATGACGACTCAGCATGTTGTAGAAAGGTCTTCCTCACGTGTCTCCAGTGACGTCAGCGACTCCTGACGCCGTCCCAGGATTTTATTTTTGGTATAAGCTATTCTACAACGTGCAAGTATAGCCACACAAGTACTTGAATATAAAGGGAAGGAAGACGGTGAAACACAAGCAGACCGTGGATCTCCTGGTGCCACACCTTACTGGTACACTCGGCGGCGTCACTGTAGACCACTGGAAAGAAGAGACGCCCGTTTACCACTATTTACTTTTTAATATCCGCTTGCTTTTCTTTTGTAACTGTGTGGAGGACGAACCGTTCTGACGCACGGTCGTCACTGCAGGAAGCCATCCATACTCTAACATGTACACGTGTGTATTCGAGCTTGTCTACCTTTTTGTATTTTATACACTTGAAGTATTGCAGGTGACGCGGACCGCCTTCAGGCCGCCACTCTTTGACGCTCTAGACATGTAATGGAAGTGTTACTTTTTTAATATTCCGACGCAACTTTCTCCGTTGCTTCAGCAGTAACTGTTCTGTGTAACCCAATCATGTGATGAACCCTGTTGCCCACAGCTGGGGCAGATAAGTTAACGATTGCCCCCCCAAGGAAAAAGCAACCCCCGAGCGCTGCCTGTAGGCTGTGTGTGGAGACGCGGTACTTCTGATTGTTTTCTAATGAGTGTTGTAAAATAACTTATATTCTAGAATAATCTGCTGCCTACGAACAGAAAGCATTGATTTGTAGTCACTGGTTTTAGGCTCTTAAATCAACAGAGGCTGTTTATATGAACAACATTTCTACATATATACAAAAATATGGATATATATTTTTTTACTTTAAGAAAAGGAATTGCACTTTTTAAAAAAAGGAACCTTGCAGTGTGCATCGTACTCCCTGTTACGTTTTTTTTTTTTTTCTTTTCAAATCACAAGTAAACGTGAACTTGGAAATTGAACCTACACCCTCCTTCGGCGCCCTCTGATGTACATACGGTGATATTGTAAATAAGATATTTGTTGGTTGTTTGCTTGCTCCAGACTTAATCTGATTATGAATATTATTTTTTGCTCTTACTTGAAACCAAAAAAGAGACTTTATTTGGATTTTGCAAAAGTGTAATTTCATTATTCTATCCCTGAATCTCATTGCAATCACAGGGCATTTCTGAGGATGAATGGTGAACCTTGAAGAGTCTCGACCTGTCAGTAGTGTTCTTTAGGTTTGACATGTGAACACAGATTTTAATTTCTCCCTTGACGTTGTTTATTTGAGAGGCTCTTTATTATTTGATGAATTATAGAGTATAAATATATATATATATATAAATATATGTATAACACCACAGACCAAATATGGTTTTGGAGTCTTTGCACCTCCACCTCCCTCCTCGGATAAGAGTAAAAACTACACCTCCTCCTGGTTTCAACCACAGGTGCTTTTCCTATATATAAAAAAGAAACACTTTTATGTCTTATCATGATACCCTCGCTCAGTATTTGTTGGGTACTATGTAATAGCAATATCCACTTTGTTAGGCTGACGCTGTTGTAGTTCTTGATTTGGAAATGGGGATTCGCTCGCTCTTGTTTCAATTTTTTTTTTTCTTCGGAAAATCTGTATAATACCCATTAAAATCGAATTCAATCTGACGAAGTTCTTTGTTTCTCTGTGTTTCCATTAAATTTCCAGCTTTAATAATCGAGGTTTGTTTGTTTGTACATAAACCATCAGTCTGGGCTCTAAAAAAAAAAAAATGAATGAACAACTGCGATGGCCGGGAATCGAACCCGGGTCAACTGCTTGGAAGGCAGCTATGCTCACCACTATACCACCATCGCTGTGCGAAAGGAAAAATATTAAGGACAATTTCTTTGAAAAAAAATCAAATATAATTGTAAATCGCATATAACATGTTTTACTGGCTTTTAAATACATTAAAATATTTTATGATGAAAACTATAAATATAGTTTTCATTATTATTTAAGAGGATCGTACAACGTGGCATGACGTCACTGACTACTAATTTTTTTTTAATTATTAAAATATCCAAATATGTCTTTCTTGCGGAGCCCCTACAGGAACATGGAGGTAAATTCATAAATAAACGTTTCAGGTAAGAATTATAAATGTTTTTTTTTTCCTCACGTCACTTCTTCCTGTTAACTACGCGTCACTTCCGTTTTTCCAATCAAGGCGACGCGGCAGATTTGTTTGTTCAGAAGTTTTTACTCCAACTTCGCAGCCTCTCAAGTCACGTCGACGGTCTGTGTCACTTTATTACGTTTTGGACAATAATTTAGTTTCGTTAGTCAAAGTTTAATCGGAAAAAATCCAGACATAACTTAATAGACAAACGCTATGTTTGAGGTGGTTGCTGATTAGTAGAGTCCAGCTATTCCTCACTCGTTAGTCAAAGTTTAATCGGAAAAAATTCAGACATAAGTTAATAAACAAACGCTATGTTTGAGGTGATTGCTGATTAGTCCAGCTATTCCTCACGAGGGCGTACGAGGACCTCTAGTGATATACGATGGTATTGTAACGTTTGAAGGAGAATGGTTGCGTTAAATACATATTCAACATCACTTTTGTTTTAGCAAATGCTAAAAAAAAGTAACAAAGATAATCAACGCAAAATTAAATTTATTTTTTATTTTAATTTTCATTATTAGACGTTAAATTGACTTTCATTTAATAATCTAATGGCATGGCCACATATGTACAGTACAGTGTCGTACGTGGTAGGACAGAAAAAGCTTCTCACGAAAAGAAATTAACCAGTGATGTAGACGGTGTGTGTCACTCCCTCGCCTGTAGGGGGCCATCACTGCACACGGTTAAAAGTCATTTGTTTTTACTCCATATCCAAACGATTGCGTGATCCTAGTTTCTGAGACTTTATATTAATGTCAGGTGTGGATTTTTTTTTTTTACCACAGTGTTTATCATTTTTCACCACTTTTGTTCTTCGAGGCTCCACCTACTGGTCGGTTGAAAATCCTCCTCCGGGAGCAGGAGCGAAGCTTCCCTCCAGGATTACAGCTTGAGGAAGACTTAGTGACTGACACATGTTACATGTTCTGCAGCGTTTCTTTTGGTGGAAGGAAGGAAATACGTGGAAACAAATTCACAGATCACCGACTTCAGAGTCATGACCGCTGCCGGTGAAAATGGGAATATTACCGACACCACTCCCTGATCCCACTCTGAAGAACTCACCTGGAAGACATCCTGAACACAGCAGAATGAGGAGGACGGTGGGTTCATGTGGTGTGACCGGGGTCCGACCTGAACGTGGGATTCAGAGATGAACTTCGACCCAGCCATGACGCCGTTGTCTGCTCCTGGGCCGCGTGGCAGCCCTTCATCACCCACGAAGACCGGCTTCCAGTCTCTGGGTTTGTTGTCTTCACCGGTGGGTTCTCCATCTGGGGCCAGAGTCTCCTCTGCTAAGATCAGACTGGCCTCCAGTCCCGCCCTGAACCCCCCCAACCCGTCCATCATGAGCTCTCCGAAACTCTGGCACAAGGCCTCCATATCCAGACTGGCGGAGGAGTTCTTCTGGATCGGAGGAAGTGTAGTGGCCCAGCCCAAGTGGAGACTGGGCCAGATCGGTAAGAACCCTCCCATCTGTGGAGGGGTTTAATAAATACTCCAAAAATGTTCTGAGAGAAATCTTACCCGTCTGTGTAACACTGCAGTCAGAACAGACAAGGGGGGGGGGGGTTTGTTTACCTGTGGAGGGATTTGAACCTGCAGTGATGGCACAGTGTTGCAGCTGCCACTGCAAAAGAAAAAAAATCTAATAATAAAAATATATAATAAATATCTTGCGGTGCTAATCGTAGGCTAATGAAGTGGATGATTTTTGTAGATTAAAAAGAAACAACAACAAAGTTTATGTACAAATACTCAAGTTCCAATAATGTGGATCCAATAAATGAGTATATGTATATATATATATATATATTTATACTGTACATATAAAGTGCCGTCCTAAATATATTCTCCACTGGCTCTAACGTCACATGAAGTCATTTCTGTGACGGACTTCAAACCACAGACGCTCACAGACACAGGCAGTTGAAGCTGCTAAGCCTCAGAGAAGCTAACGGACATATGGAGAGTGGACAATCCTCCAGGATTAGCCTAATTAGAACGATGATCCAGGACGGGTCACATGTTCTGTACCTCGGCCTCAGGTTACCAACGGTTCCTGCTCTCAGCAAACAACAGTGAAGGGGGCGCTGTTTCTCCATCTCTGTGCCAGAAATATATATTGTTATATTTTTAATACAAGAAAGTCTGACGGGCTGTGAGTCAGAAAAGATGATTTAAAAAAAAACATATTTAACGCCACTTCATTAAAACCAACCAATCACCAGGCCTTAAAGTCTAAATGAGTTCATTTTGAAGTTTGACTGACAGACAGCCACAGGTGACTGATCGTCTGCTCTTGTGCAGTGGAGCGATGTATGTGCAGCATGCAGACCGGGAGTCACATGACCAAACTGAAGGGGAAGAAGAAAGGACTGCTCCGCTTCTTCTACCTGGACGAACACAAGTCCTGCGTCCGATGGAGACCGTCCAGGAAACAGGACAGAGCCAAGAGTGAGTGGGAGACTGATGATGTCATCAAGGTCGACTTCAGCACTGATGATGTCATCAAGGTCGACACTGGAGGTTTTTCTGAACCTTCTAGATCAGTTTCTAATGTAGTGGTTCACAAACTATGGCCCGCCTACCACCTGTGGTACTACTGCTAGTGGTTATGGTACTGTATCACACACACTATATTATACTATGAGTTCCAGACTAGATAACCTAAGTGAGGGGGGGGTGGGGGGGGAAGAGTGGTCCCATAGGAGGTCCCCCTGCCACCATTAGGCCCTGGGTTCAATCCCAGTTCTCAAATCCTGATACGACACCCCGTGTGGCTGCATTTATTATTGCTCATACGGGTGGAGCTGGGAGAGACAGATATTTACATAGACATCATCTCATTATATATACAGTCAGTGACACTTCAGTCCAGGCAGACGTTCTTTTTAACTTGTCGATGATGAACCCACGTTTCTACGTCGTCTCTTTCAGTAACGATTGATTCCATCCATGAAGTCTGTGAGGGCAAAAAGTCCGAGATGTTCAGGAGGTACGCAGACAACCGCTTTGACCCGAACTGCTGCTTCAGCATTTACTACGGGGAGAGGGTCAGATCCCTGGACCTGGTCTCCACCAACTCGGAGGAGGCCCGGACCTGGGTCACAGGACTGAAGTACCTCATGGCTGGTATCAGTGATGAAGACAGTCTGGCCCGCAGGCAACGCACCCGCGATCAATATCCTTCATCAGCCGTTTGACAGTTTGTGGTAGAACCTTCACAGGCCGACGGTCTTCACACCTTAACTACAGTCTCACGTGGCTACAGCAGACCTTCTCTGAAGCTGACAAGAACGGAGACGGAACCTTGAGCATCAGTGAAGTTCATCAGCTGCTGCACAAACTCAACGTGAATTTACCCAAGCAGAAGGTCAGACAGATGTTTCAGGTGAGACAACAACAACGTCACACACAGAAACGCATCATCAAGGCCGACGTTTGAGCCGCACTAAATATGTTGATGCTTTGATTTATGATACACTGGGGTTTCAATTGTAGTTGACAACAGTAGGTTGTTAAAATGCTTTACCACCAGATGGAGCCAAAGTACCTGTCGTGAGGTCCAAACCGACGTGTGTTCATCAGGAATGTTTTTGTTTTTCTTTTTTCATGTCAGGAGGCCGACACAGATGAGAACCAGGGTTCTTTGGCCTTTGAAGAATTCTGTTCGTTCTACAAAATGATCTCCACTCGCAGAGACCTGTACCTGATCATGATCTCCTACAGCAACCAGAAGGAGGTGTTGGATCTCCAGGACCTCGCGCACTTTCTGGAAAATGAACAGAAGGTGAACACGTTAACCTGTGCTGTAATTGGTGGGCCACTAGAGGGCGCACAGCTATTCCACTGAAGATATTTGTATTTGATTTGTTTTTGTGACCTTTAACTGAACTCACACACACACACACACAGGGATGATTTTTGAAATCCTCTCTGCAGATGCGAGGTCTGACCAAAGACTTCCTGATCGACATCGTCTCCAGGTTCGAGCCGTGTCCTGACAACCTGCAGAAAATGGTCCTGGGTATTGATGGTACGTGTGCAGTGTTTCTCCCCGTATCATTTAGAAAATAAAACAATATCAGCTCAATATCAGACGTTTCTTTTTCTCCGTAGGTTTCACCAACTACATGAGAAGTCCTGCAGGCGACGTCTTCAACCCGGAGCACCAGCAGGTGAACCAGGACATGACGCAGCCGCTCAACAGCTACTTCATCGCCACGTCACACAACACCTACCTGACGGGAGACCAGCTGCTGTCCCAGTCCAGGGTGGAGATGTACGCCTACGTCCTCCAGGCTGGCTGTCGCTGCGTGGAGGGTAATGGCCTGTAGGGGGCGGACTTGGTTCTTTAGGCTGTCAATCAATCTCTAAAGTGAGCGTGTCTCCTCCTGCTCCTCCTCGTCTTCTAGTGGACTGCTGGGACGGACCGGACGGAGAGCCCATCATCCACCACGGCTACACGCTGACGTCCAAAATTCTCTTCAGAGACGTGATCGAAACGATCAACAAACACGCCTTCACAAAGTCACAGTAAGGTTGACGGCCCCGACGGTGACACGATACCACGACTGCACTGAGTCCTGCTCCTCTAACAGGAGGATCATGGTCCTCCTCCCAGGTACCCGGTGATCCTGTCCATAGAAAACCACTGCACCGTGCCTCAGCAGAAACGGATGGCCCAGTGTTTGACTGAGGTACTGCAGGACAAGCTGGACTTGTCCAACGTCAACGTGCACGAAACCAAGAAGCTGCCCTCCCCTGAGTCTCTGAAGGGGAAGGTCCTGGTCAAAGTAATGTCCTCTGTTGATCTGAAGAAAAACCTCAGGAGGAAAAATGAACACAAACAGAAAAACGTTTGGGTTTTTTTTTTCTTCAGGGAAAGAAACTTCCTGCGAATCTGGACCCTGATGCAGAGGAAGGAGACGTGTCTGATGAAGACAGTGGTGACGAAGAGGCGGGCAGCGATGACGATGACACACAGGCCAGTAAAACACGGTCGGATGGAGAGGGGGATGGATGAATGGTTGGTTGGATGGTTAACGGTTGCATGTCGACTGTTTCAGGACGGGAACGTTAACTCTGTCAGTCAGACCAAAAAGAAGAGACGATTTACCAGATCCATCATGAGGAGCTTCGATAGAAAGGTCTGACGAGGCGTCTCTCTCTCTCTCTCTGTCTCTCTCTCTCTGTCTCTCTCTCTCTCGTTATCTTTTCACTGTTTTTTTTTTCATATTAAAGAAAAAGAGAGTTCGAGTGAAGAACAGGTCCCAGTCCGACGGAGAGTCCGACGTCAGCAGCAGCAGAGAAAGGACTCAGATCGTGTACCATCCCAAGTAGGACTCAGAGATGGTTCCTCTAAGACCAGGTTCTCAGTCTTCTTCTAACCCCCCCTCTCCCCCCCCCATCTCTTCAGAAAGAGAAAAACCATGAGACTGTCTCGACCTCTGTCAGATCTGGTCAAATACACCAAGGCCGTCCGTGTGCACGACATAGAAACACAAGGTAAACGTCAACATCCGTCAACATCCGTCGTACGTTTGGAGAACCGTTGGATCGATCCATGTTTCTGTGACAGGGTTCACGAACAGCTGGCAGGTGTCGTCGCTGGACGAGACGGTGGTGAACCAGATCCTGCAGCTGAAGCCCGCTCAGCTGCTGCGTCTGAACCAGCGGCAGCTGCTTAGAGTCTATCCGTCCAACTACAGGGTGGACTCCAGCAACTTCAACCCACAGCCGTACTGGAACTCAGGCTGTCACATGGGTAAGAGGGTCAGGGAGGTCGACCTGGGCGAGAATGTCTTCTCCGTCTGATTCTCCGTCTGATTCTTCTTCTTCTTCTTGGTCTTGGTCTCAGTGGCGATGAACTACCAGACGGAGGGACGCATGTTAGAACTGAACCAGGCCAAGTTCTCCAGCAACGGGAACTGTGGATACACCCTGAAGCCCAAATGCATGTGGAAAGGTGAAAGGTCACCTGGTACTGACTTGTTGTGGGCTGTTTTAGGAGTGAAGACGGACAGGTGTGTTCTTGTTGTCAGGTTCCTTCAACCCCACGTCTGAGGACCCTCTACCAGGACACAAGAAGACCCAGCTGGTGCTGAAGGTCATCAGCGGTCAGCAGCTTCCCAAACCCAAGGACTCCATGTTCGGGGACAGAGGAGAAGTAAAGCTAACGATGCTAACAGTGCTAACAGTGCTAACAATGTGTTGACTGGTCACAAACAGGAAGTGACGTTGCTCTTAATGACGATGACATCATCAATTGATCCATCAGTCCGTCCAATCAGCACTCATTTAGGTTTGCCTAAAAGGCAGCACATTTAAAAAATATATACTTTTGTATATATTTATTTTATATATGTAAATATATAAATGTGAAAAATTACACAACTAAACTTTATTATTGTATTGTATTATGTTTTCAACTGGAACTAAACCAAAAATAAAATAGTTTTATTGACCTGAGTTAAACTTTAGTCTAAATCTGCTGTGTCAGTTATCACTGTCATTAGGAGCAACATTTAAAAAAAAGAATCTGGAAATGAAATGAAACCCTGGTGTTTTTCTCCACGTTGAGATCATCGACCCCTTCGTGGAGGTGGAGATCATTGGTCTGCCTGTGGACTGCACCAAGCAGCAGACCAGAGTGGTGGACGACAACGGTAAACCTCTGCTGTCTCCACGGTAAAGTCACATGATCTCCAGACAGGAGTATATAAACTGTCTGACCCCCCCCATGTCGCCCCCCCCCCCCTGTTGTCTGTCAGGTTTTAACCCCATGTGGGAGGAGACTTTCATCTTCAACGTCCTCATGCCACAGATCGCTCTGGTGCGTTTCCAGGTGTGGGATCACGATCCCATTGGTCGAGACTTCATTGGACAGAGGACGATAGCGTTCTCCAGCCTGATGCCAGGTACGTGGACCACGAGGCGTCCGGTCCAGACCGACACATGAGTTTGACTTTGACCAGGGTTCATGTTGTCGTCAGGTTATCGTCACGTCTACCTGGAGGGGATGGCGGACTCCTCCATCTTTGTTCACGTGGCTGTCATCGATATGTCAGGAAAGGTGAGGTTTTTAAAGACCAACACGTGTTTATCATCTTTAATCTTCGGCTCTAACGTCCGCGTTTCCTCTTCGTCCGTAGATAAAACCGTCCAACGCAGTTCACGCTGCCAGGAAACACATTCAGAAAGCAGCTCAGAAACATTTGAAAGGTCCTCAGAAGCAGCCGTCTCTGGACTCCTCCGTCCAGTCCTCGGAAGACGGACGCGCCGTCTACTTTCACAGGGACCTGGACAACGTCTCCCTGGACAGCAGGAACAGCGACAAGTCTCTCCTGGTCCAGGCGCCGGCGTCCAAGACCGCCGTCCTGAGAGGAGCTGTGAGTGAACCAGTGAGGAGAGCTCACAGGGTGAAGATCCAGGAGCCGCTGCAGACCAGGAGAGACGTCTTCAGCCGGATGTCCTCCACTGACTCCTACCACATGGGGGCTCCACCCTTTGTAGTGGAGGAGAGTTTTGTCATTGACACCTCCTCCCAGGACTCGAATCCTGATGGTCCAGAGCTCAAAAGTCAAAACTCAATACAGGAAGAACTGGAGGATGAACTGGACGATGAGACACGGGAGCAGGGGACGCTGCAGACGTCAGAGACGGAGGAGGGTGCGGGCACCGAAGGACAGCCCGGTGGAGGGACCACGGGAGGCCCCAGAGGACAGACAAGGGGAGGCACCACTGGAGGCACCAGAGGAGACAGACTCTGGATTCAAACCGAAGCTGAAGTCTCAGCCGGTTGTCATGGCTCCGTCTCAGCCGGTGCTGCAGACTCTTCTCCATCCAACGACCAAACCTCCACCCATCGTTCCTCCTTCATCTCCGACCCCAGTGAGGAGAACATTTGGAGCTCCCTTCACCCCAAACCAGTCCAGTCTAATCTGGACCAAAGCTCGTTCACTCAGCTGTCCTAGGAAACAGAGCCCAGTGTTGAACCACACTCACCAAACTGGTCACTTGGCCAACGGCCGCTGCCTGGACCAGTGCAGCAGCAGCAGCAGCAGCGTGGACAGTCTGGAGCTGGTCCCGTCCTGTCGGTCTGTTGGGACACGGCAGAAGGACGGGACGCTGCAGAGGGAGATGAAAGCTCTGTTTGATCAGAAGATCAAAGAACTCCGCTGTAAATCACCGCTTTTTCTGGATGAGAAACTCTGAAGGACTTCATCAGAACAATGGATGTGTGTGTGTGTGTGTGTGTGTGTGTATACAGTGTGTGTGTGTGTGTAAAGACTTGGGAGTTCTAAACACTGCGTTCTCTCAGTCGATAAAGAGTAAATAAAAAATGAACACCATCTATGGATCGTGTTTTTAAGTCACTAACAAATGTCATTTTAGCTGCAGTGATCAAGACGGCCAGCAGAGGCTCCTCTTCCAAAAAAACTGGTGCATATGTGACGTCCACTTACATCACCAGCACCTGCTGTGTTGTTGTTGTTTTAATCGTTTGTTTTCCTCTAAACAGGAACCAGGAAACACGTCTCACTGGTCCAAACTGGTTTCTTTTATAACCAGTAGATTACTGGTAATTACTGCTGTTACTGTAGTACTGTGTACTCATGTCTTTTTTGTAGTACATGTGCCAGAGTATTTACAGTATCGACTTCTTGTTCAGACAAACATGTGCCAGAGTATTTACAGTATCGACAAATGACGTGACGTCAGGACGTTGAGGCTGCGGCCGTTTTTATTCATCAACATCGTGATGTTTGTTCATCTGCACCAGGAACAGTTAGTCAATCTGACGGTTCTTGTCAACTTTGAGTTGGAAATCAGGAATAGAAGAAAGTCGTACATTAGCTCCGTTAGTAGACGTTAACTGCTATGCTAACTCTGTGTATGTGAGGTTTGATTTTAGCTAACAGGTCTTTGAAAATGACTTTTAATCAGATTTTCCACATTTTTCTTATGCCTTTTCTTTGTCTTTTTCTGCGTTCTCCAGGGCGCTGCTCACATCAGAGGTTCTCAAACGGAGGCTCAGTTCTTCAGACAGCACGGAGCAGCAGGATTTCTGTTGAAGATGTGAAACATCTCAGTAAGATGAACAAGAAACTTGATTTTATTTACTGTTCACATTGAGAAAGAGTTGACAATGAAGAAAACAATTTCAAAAACAGAAAATTCAACTTTTGGCCAAATTATTAATACGTTATTACATTTATAAAAATGGGTTTTCTGCGGTAGGTTACTACTGCGGTAGTTTTGTACCGCCCTCTTGTGGTAGAATCTTAGAAGGGCTCTAAGACAATCTGTTTTGAAACCACAGTGTCTCTGATTGGTCAGTTTTCTGAGTGACCAAAATACAAACTCCACTTCACCTTAGTTTACACTAACTACTACTATAACTATTGATTCTACTAGTATTACTAACACATTCTGAGATTAAACAAATAATTACATTGACCAAATAGAAATAGAAAAAGTAAAGTAGAAGTGAGTTTAAAAGTTATTGAAATTAAAAGTAAATTAAATATAAGGCCTGGACTTAGGGTTTTTTTATATGTTTTTTTTTTTTTTACATTTTTTAATTGCCCCCACAGGTGGATATTTTTCAGGTGAGACATGAAGAAACTAAGAGACCATTAGGGTGAAGTCCAGCGCTACAGTCATCCTGTTACCTTTAGCTGTTTTGCAGTTGTGCGACTCTTGTGTACGAGCTCCAGGACGGCTAACAGCGCTCCGAGCCCTACGCCCAGACTAAGGAGCAGGAACAGCCCCCGGAGGCTGTGGAGTGGGACGGATGGAGACCGGGCCTGGTCCGGGACACAGCTGCTGGACCACCACTTACTCTGCAGGTGAGCCAGCTCTCCAGCCTCGTTCATCTGAAGGACGGCCACGCTGAGGTTCTTGATGAGCGGAGACCCTGGAAGAGACGATGCACAGCAGAATTCCTAAAAACTGAAAACAAACTCAGTCTTTTTTTTCTTCAAAAACACACACTCACTCACCGAGAGCCGTGGCGATACTGAATCCCCTCATGCCGATGATTTCTCGAGCTCTGACCAGTTCACAGTGTCGCACCGCCGCCAAGTCCAGAGAGACGGACTCTCCAATAAAGGCGTAGTCGCCCTCCTTCACACGTCGGACGCCTTCGTCCAGGGTCGACACAAAGCTTTTACTTCGCTCCATGTGTTCGTAGATTCTACGATAAACTGGGTTGTTGGAGTTCTGTGTGTGAACAGGAAACGTTAGCGACACGTCCAGGAGAAACGTTCCGCTGAGTGGAGGTGTTAGGTCTGACCTTGAAGAAGGCCAGGGTGGAGGAGCCGGCCAGGCAGCCATACTGGATCCTATTCTGATTGGCCAAATCCTCGAACCCTTTCACCGTCAGCTGAGTGGACTCAGGGCTCTTCGAGGAGCTGAGGTTGGAGAAGTAGGAGGCCAGCAGGACGATGGTGAACAACCACCAGCTGCAGGTGAGGACACGTCCAGACAAAGCTCTGGGGTGAGGACCAGTTCCTGGCCACATGAGAGCAACAGAAAATGTGAGATGAAACAGGACGAGCTAACAGCTAACTGTCGTCGTTGTTGTTGTTGTTGTGTGATTGTGTTTGTGAGTGTGTAACCTTGGAGAGTCAGAGCTCCGGCTGTGAACCACAGGCTTTGGACGAAGCTGAATCTGTTCTCCTCACTCTGAGGTTGACTCCACTCACATGGACTGAGTCTGCAGCACGTTAGCATTCAACGTTAGCATTGTGACAGTCACTGGGAGGTTGGTCACTACACGCACCAAAAACCTGGAGTCACCAACCTGGTCATGACGTAGATGCTGGCCGCCGTCAGCAGATAGGCCGCGACCACGCCGACCCAGGTCTCCGTGGAGAAGGGGGTCAGGAAATCAAACACGCCCGTTTCCACGGTGATGTCCTTCCGCAGCAGGATGCTGATTCCTGTCTGCATGAAGGGTTTGGTCATTCCCACAACTCTCTCTCTGGCTGCGGTGAGAGTTAACGGAGCGATGGCCAGATCTGCCTCCTGCACAGAACAGAAACACAGGTGTGAAGGTGTGAGGCAGAGAAACCTCCAGTCTTTGTCTGGGGGGGGGGGGGGGGGGGGGGGGGAACGACCTCTTCAGCTGTCACTCACCCCTCGAACCACCTCTCCTATCATCCCATTCCAGTTCCCGTTCTCATCCTGCCGGCCGTAGGAATTATCCTTCACCAGCTGAACTTTGTAGGAGAAGCCGGCTTTCTTGGACAGTTCCAGCAGCAGGTCCATACAGAACCCTTCCAGGTCGGTTCCCCTGGACATGGTGTATGGTTCTTGCTAAGAAGATGTGCAAAAACAATGTGTTTACTGACATGATTTTGTAGTATTATTAACGTGGAACAGTAAAACTCAGAGACGCAGCAGATCCACTACCTTTATAGTCGTGACTCTCAGAACTGTTTGCCCTGAGGAAGAGAGAGAGAGAGAAAGGTGACAACAACACTGACCTTCAAAATGAAATATTTATTGGATTTGATATGAGCCTCTGTATCGTTGTCTTTGTTCCTGAAGATTTTTTTTTTTTTTTTACCAGTCCTGGTTTCTGTCCCTCGCTGTGAAGGACACAGTTTGAAGGGATAAAAAGTTGATTTTTTATCAACAAGTGCTCTGTGGTGAGCAGTGTTCCAGCAAAGCTTTTCTTCTTTGAAAATGTAACAGTTTCTAAATGTTTCAGTCTCAGTTGGACCTCGTTGTCTTGGCGCTGTGACATCAAAAGCCTCGATTCAGGCCGAGGCCTTGGGGATCCTTGAGCGCAGGGTGATCCTGACAACCATCACATCCTCCTTTTCAAACCATGACACATTTACCAGTTTCTCAGACTCCTGTCACATTTTGGCCTCCTTCAAACACACGCTCTTTGTTTCCAGTGTGGATTTAAAGCCAAATTTGTCAGAAAGTCAACTGGCTCACGTCCGTGTCCTCGGTTGGACAGGATGTGGACGCTTTATAAACAATGAATCTTACAGTTTATGTATTTGAAGCTACAGTGATCCAACAGTGGAGAGTTACTGCAGCTCCAGGGCCAAAAACAGAAGTGAACTGAATATCAGATGTCGATTAAATCATGATTTACATTTAATTTAAAAAACATATTTTTTAATGTTTGTGCAGAAAAAATAGAGGTTGGTTTCATGTCTTACCTGCAGTGCACAGTCCTGTTTCCAGTAAAAGCCCAGAGGAGACCAGAAAGAATACAGACCACATGGTGGAGTTGCTGGTTTGAATCCTAAAAACACAGTAAGTCATTCACTGTGCATTAAATAAATGTAGGAAAAAATGTTGTTAAACTAGTTAATAATAGTATCTGACTTAAAACTGAGTTATGAGGTTTAAAGAAAACAAACCAATAATTGTCAAATCAAATGTCAAATCAACTCCTCTCCAGGATCTGACTGCACTGATGTGTCAGGGTCCAGGAGCTGCGCTCTGATGGAGTGGCCTCTGAGGTTCTTCAAATTCAAATGTGGGATTCAGATGTGGGTGGAGAGAGTGGACGGACCCCCGAGAGCTGAGGAGGAATACTGTGAGGAATACTGTGAGGTACGGGACTGTACTGCAGTACGAGTATTTACTTAGTACTTACATCTGAAACTTATATCAAATACAGTGGTTTCTAGGTCATATAATATATTTATACAGTTGTATGTGGTTAATGAAATTAAAATCAAAATGATTTAGTGTATGAGCTCATGTTAGACTGCGACCCACAGTTTTTATTCCAAGATACATATTTTTTAGGGAATATTTTTTTATATTTTTTAAATTAAAATAAAAATATAAAATAAATTTTAAAAAATAAATTGAAATTTTTAAATCAAAATTTACCAGCAAATTGATTCATCTCCTAGAATGAGTTTTTCTTAAAAAGCTTTTTACGTTTGAGGGAAAATAGAACTCTTTTCGTCATTGCAGATCCTTCCGTTCCATCTTCCTGTTAAATAATATAAAGGTTAATTTGTTCCAAACTAAAATATTATTTCATATTTTATTGAGTAAACGGTTTTATTTGTTCTGTTTCTGCTCCAACAAAAGTGGCTGAAGAAGTGTAGGGCTGTAAAGGCGCGGAATGTCTACGTCGTTGTTATATTCGCCGCTGGTCACTGTGGCAAAGTCCAGTTTGACACCGATGAGTTCGCGTCGACTCTTTAACCAATCAGAGCTCGGTGCGCCTCGTGTACGGTGAGGAACAGCGGCCTGTGATTGGCTGAGGTGCTTTTTTCCAAAGGGGCGTATTTTTCAAGCCATTTTGACTGAATATTTAGCCTCATCCAGGTAACATTAATTCTATATTTTCGCGATTCTGCCTCAACATTGATGAGTAAAAGGTTTATTCAAAAGCCTGGAAGCACAGCTATGAGACCGGGTGCAGTTGGTGCGTGTGACCGACGTCTCAGCGGAGAACTACGGTTCTGAAAATGACGCTGTCGCTGCTGATATCACCGGTAGCCATGCTAACGGCTAGCATGTCCGCCTGTGCTGTAGCCTCTCAGTAGCTGACACTGAGGCAGCTGCTATCATTCACTTTGACGTCGGCACCACGGAGGAGCTTATCACAAGGTAAACAACGCTACGTTTCTGTGATTTCAGCGGTGTTTGAAACGTTTGGTGACACGTCCGTGTCCGCTGTCCGACCGAGTATCGTTATCACATCAGAGACGGTGTTTTTTTTGCAGTGGTCTGGTGTACAAAGAAAAAACCCCCGACGCTGCACATCGACAGTGTGTTGTTTTTATAAAGATGTGCAGTTAATCTGTGGATCGATGCACGAAGCACTGCTCGGAGCTGCTTGTTGTTGTGCATCTAGTTCGTATAATTAAGTTGCTAATGAACTTGCAATACGAACAGCGTCTCTGCCGCCGTGAGTCTAAAATGGCTGACAGATGATAGATACTAGGGTTGGTATTTAGCGCTTCTCAACCGAACTAGGCGCAGCAACAAGGGGGGAAAAAAAACAAAGATTCTGTAATCTGATTGGCTCAGGCGAAACATGTGGCGCGTGACAGACTAAGAGTTGGACCAATGGGATGGCAGTTGGACTGTACGTTGTCAAGCGGTGTGTTTGTGCAGCAGGAGGACTCGAAAAGAGATGGTATTTTTACTACAGCAGAAATACACTTGACGGCCGCTCCGGTGGAAAACAGACCAACAGTTGAGCCACGTACTATTGGGGCTCCATAAAACTGTCTGTTAAACCTTTAACGGTGGAAGACGGTTGTTATTTCACTGTTCTAAAAACGTATCAAACATGGTCTGACACTGTGAGCTGCTCCTCAGCTTTTACATCGTATTTAAATGTTTGGGTTTCGTATAAAAGTGTTATATACGACTATAAAAGGCCCTGCGTTTACGTCACATTGGTTTTTAACACTTTAATAAAATGAATGTGCTGACAGAACTGTGTAAATTAAACTCAAGTCAGTATAAACACAGGAGGATGAGTGAGAGTTGGTCAGTGTAAACACACGACCACATCAAATCAAATCAAAACTATAGAAACTAGTAGAAACCCTGTAGCTGTAGCTAAGTGTTAGCTGTTAGCCTTTGTCTATAGTTGACAAAAAGGAATCATTAGAACTGTGTGAGTATCAGATGAGTAGCTGTGTCTGTGTTGGACTTGAACATGATCCAGGACTGTGGCCCAGAAAGCTGACAGACAAAAAATGGATCCACTTGGTCTCATGTCACTGATCACTGTGGGCCACAAATATCCTCAAAGTGCCAGAAGATCCATAATCCATATCTAACCATATATGGTCATGTCTGATATCAAACCTCACAGAGAACTGACATTTTCCGTTGTTATTGATGGACGAGTCTGCACAACTGGAGTCATTTTCTCTCGTTTCTTTGGCAGGCTGCTGGTTTGAACTCCCATGAAAAAGAAGAGGTGGTGGGAATGTGAAACAGCTGTCCGTAAAGTCAACATGGGTCGGGGCCGAGGAAGAGGGAGGGGAAGGGGCAGAGGGTCGTCTGTCCAGTTCCGGCCCCCGTCTCCCTACAGACTGCAGCTCTCTCCGTCCAGGGAGACTTTGACGTACGCTCAGGCTCAGAAGATCGTGGAAGTGGACCTGGATGGACGGCTTCATCGGATCAACATCACGGACTCTTTGCCCATCATCACGGAGGATGAGATGACGGCTCAGGACATCACTGAGTGCAACAGTAACAAGGAGAACAGCGAGCAGACTCAGAACAAGACCAAGTCCTGGAGGAAGCCGTCGCACAGCAAAAGCAGGAAAAGCGGGAAGAATACGTCTCATCGGGACCACCGCTCGGGCTCCAGGCAGAACTCCGGAGATGCTAATTCCTCTCAGTTCCCATCCAACCAGAGCGCTCTCCCTGAGCCCAACTTTCGAACGTTGCCTTCAGTTTCCCTTTCAGAAGCCCCGCCCCTACCTTCAGCTTATTACCGGTACATAGAAAGGTCGGTGGAGGAGCAGGACACGGTGGCGGAGTACGACATGGACGAGGAGGACCTGGCGTGGCTGGAGATGGTGAATCAGAAGAGAGTTTCCGACGGTCACGCCTCCGTCCCTCCCGACACTTTTGAGCTGCTCATTGATCGCCTGGAGCGAGAGTCCATTCTGGAGTCTCGCAGCCAGGCGCTGTCGCAGAACGCGGTGGACGAAGACGCGTTCTGCTGCGTCTGTCTGGACGACGAGTGTCTCAACAGTAACGTGATTCTCTTCTGTGACATCTGCAACCTGGCCGTGCACCAGGAGTGTTACGGCGTTCCCTACGTCCCAGAGGGCCAGTGGCTGTGCCGCTGCTGCCTGCAGTCCCCCTCCCGTCCTGTAGACTGTGTGCTCTGTCCCAACAGAGGAGGTGCCTTCAAACAGACGTGCGATGGACGCTGGGCTCACGTCGTCTGTGCCATATGGATCCCAGAGGTGTGCTTTGCCAACACGGTGTTTTTGGAGCCCGTAGAGGGCATCAAGAACATCCCCCCGGCCCGCTGGAAGCTCACCTGTTACTTATGTAAGCAGAAAGGCCGGGGCGCGTCCATCCAGTGCCACAAGGCCAACTGTTACAGGGCCTTTCATGTCACGTGCGCTCAGAAGGCCGGACTCTTCATGAAGATCGACCCGGTCCGGGAGACGGGGGTCAACGGCACCACCTTCTCCGTGAAGAAGACCGCGTTCTGCGAACATCACTCTCCTGCCGGGTATCAACGGGACGAATCAGGGGACGAGTCGGAGGGAAGACTGGTGGGCGGCAGAGGGAACAGGGGTCAGCGCTCCTACACTCAGACCCCCGCCTCACCATCCAACAAGAAGGGCAGTAAAGGCCAGAAGAAGAAGAACACCAAAGGTTCCGGAGGGTCGACGCGGCGGTCAAACGTGCCTCTGCTGCTGGTGCCTCAGATTCCTTCTCACAGGTTCGTTCACTGCCGGACGTCATTCATTATTGATCACATGGTCGCGGCCGTTAGTGGTTTGATGATTGTTGTAAGATGAAGTGAACCCATGTGGTTGGAGGTATTAATATTTAACTGATACTCCACGAGGACGCCGTGGAATCGGTTTTCACTTCCTGCCAAAGTGTTTAACTAAACATTGATCCTGACAGACACTGACGCTGTTGTCTACCTGTCTGTCGTTCACTACAGACTCAACAAGATCTGCACAGGAGTCGACGTCCAGAGAAAGAACCAGTTCATGCAGCGGCTTCACAATTACTGGTTACTGAAACGACAGTCCAGAAATGGGATGCCTCTGATCCGACGACTTCATTCCCACATGCAGGCGCACAAGACCACGGAGCAGGTGAGGAACCAACGGAAACCAACGGAGCAGGGGACTGACCAGCAGAGCAGGGGAGGAACCAACAGAGCAGGTGAGGAACCAACGGAGCAGGTAACGGCCCAACAGAGCAGGTGAGGAACCAACGGAGCAGGTGACTGACCAACGGAGCAGGTGACTGACCAACGGAGCAGGTAACGGCCCAACAGAGCAGGTGACTGACCAACGGAGCAGGTAACGGCCCAACAGAGCAGGTAACTGACCAACGGAGCAGGTAACGGCCCAACAGAGCAGGTGAGGAACCAACGGAGCAGGGGACTGACCAGCAGAGCAGGGGACTGACCACACGACAGCTTGAACGTTTCACTCCAGTCTGTTTATTAACTGTTTGGTCGTCAAAGACTTCAAATTCAAATGTACGATACTAATGCAAAGGGTTCAAAAATCCTCCTTGAAATGATTTTGGAATACTCTGGAATACTGTGTGGAGAACCAACAATAGCTGACCTTTCACCTCTGTGTCCAGCGAGAACCTGACGAGAAGTTGTGTGCGGCGAGAGAGGAGCTGCGGTACTGGCAGAAGCTGCGACAGGACCTGGAGAGAGCCAGACTGTTGGTGGAACTGATCCGTAAGAGAGAGAGACTAAAGAGAGAGGAGGTGAGGTTCTGCTGCTCCACAGTCAGCCCTCGCTCTGCTCTGAGTCTCAGTCCTAGTTTGTGTAAGAACGGCTCAGATCGATGGAGTACTGGACTGTTGAGAGCACCTGATTATAAGCCACGCCCACTAGACCTAAAAAGAAACAAATGATTGTAGATTCAGAGGCCGCACTTCTCTGTAAGCTGCAGATATTTACACAGAATAAATATTTCTTAACAACACGGCTGGTTACACATCGGCCCTAATTAGAGCTGGACCAATGAGGGAAGAGTGATTAGTGATGTCACAGCTGACTCAGGTTAACTGTGTTCTCTCTTCTTCTTCTTCTTCTTCTTCTCCTTCTCCTTCTCCTTCTCCTTCTCCTTCTTCTCCGTCTTCTCCAGTTGAAAGTCCAGCAGACCACTCTTGAGCTGAAGTTGACCCCGGCCCTGGTTCTTCTCCGCTCCACGCTGGAACAACTGCAGGAGAAGGACACGGCCAAGATCTTCTCCCAGCCCGTCAATCTGTCAGAGGTTGGTAAAAAAAAACAAACCACTTCAATCTTAATGTTCAGACCTTTATTTATGAACCGTCCAATGTTGTGATGACGATGACTCCCTCAGGTCCCAGATTACCTGGAGTTCATCTCCAAACCCATGGACTTCTCCACCATGAGGACCAAACTGGAGGGACACGGTTACTGCTCCATCTCTGACCTGGAGAGAGACTTTGACCTCATGATTTCCAACTGCCTCAAGTACAACTCCAAGGACACGCTGTTCCACAAGACGGCGCTGCAGCTGCGGGAGGTGGGGGGCGCCGTCCTCCGCCACGCCCAGAGGCAGTACCAGAGCATCGGCCTGGACCCCAACACGGGCATGCACCTCCCAGAGTCTCCCAACAAACACGGCTTCTACAACTGTGACTGGGACGACGGTGAGTTGTGACCTGAAAATGTTCTTTTCAGATTGACTTCACCTAAAATGGCTGCCACCACTCAACGTTTAACCCCCCCCACAGTGGACTCCCTCCTGGACCCGGAGAACAGACTCCACTTGAACACAGACGAGCAGCTGAAGGTCTTACTGGAAAAACTGGACGTGGTCGGATCCATGCGCACCAGCGGTGGACGGACCAAACGCATCAGGCTGCTGCGGCGGGAAATCAACGCTCTGAGACAGAAGATCAACCAGCAGCAGCTGAACAACCAGAGCACCAACGGTGATGAAGAGGAGGAGGGAGCAAAGAAGGCTGAGGAGGAGGAGCAGCAGGAGGAGGAGGAGAAGACGAGGAAGAAGAACAAGAAGAAGGAAAAGAAAACCAAGACAAAGAAGTCGACCAGTGAAGCCAAGGGAGCGTCAACAGTGTCCAACTGTGGGACAGGTGAAAACGTCGATGAAATGAAATCTGTTTCACGTCATTGAGGTTTAATTTAGATTCAAATGAAACACATTAATCAGTCTGAGCTGTTTTAGATGATCAGTGATCTAAAAATAATGTCCTCACTTTTTTTGTATTTGTTCTAAATCAGTTGTACATTTTAACAGTTTAATGGAAATATAAAAAGGTTTGGATGAAACATTAATGATGAGTTTTCTGTCCTCTGCCAAGACTCTCCTCCTGTGCTGGAGCTCACCTGTCCAGTGTCGTCTCCTCTTCCTGGAGACGCTCCTCTGGAGCCTCCCGTCCTGGGTATTGTCACGGGGGGGCGGCGGTCGCCGGGTCGTTCCTACAAACGCCAGAGGTCGTCCCGCAGCGGGAGCAAAAGCCAAGGCGAAGACGAGGCCGAGGTCGGCGAAACGCCATCGTCACAGCAGGAAGCGGTTCACGAGGCGACGCCACTGGGAAAGCCTCCACCTCAGTCTTTGGCCGGCGTCGGCCGCCGCACGTCCGTTTTGTTTAAGAAAGCTAAAAACGGAGCACGGACTTCGAGGAGTAAGACGTCACCGCAACAAAACGGAAAATCATCCAACGGGTTGGATCACAGCCCCGAACGACCGCAGTCGCCCGGCGTGACCGCGCTACCTCCCACTCCCAGTCCTTCTCCTGCTCCTCCTTCACCTTTGTTGCACCAGCTGAGGTCCAGGGGCATCAGCTCCGACAGTGAGGCTGAAAGACACCCTCACCTGGCCAGGGGTGGGAACGCAGGTGGGAACGTGACACGACACTGCAGGTCACATGACGTCGGCTGTTTATCCATCAGTCGTTGGTTCATTTCTGTGTGTGTGTGTGTGTGTTAGGTCTGACAAACGGGAAACAGCACTCTGCAGAGCTCAGTGATGATGACCAAAAAAACGAGTGAGTAGAGGGGGAGTAAATGTTTTTACCCCTGGAATCTCTTATGATTCACCAGACACTAAACTTTAGAAACATCTGTAATATATATATACACACGTGTGTGTGTGTATATATATATATATATAAGTTCTATGCCTGCAACATTTAAATTTTCTTGTTTGTGATGAGTTTGACCTGAGGCCATGTGACTAAACCAAACATCAATAGTGTTTTGTTTTTTGTTTTTTTTTTTATTTAAATTTGAAGTTGAAATGACCCACCTCTCCCTCCTCTCCTGTTCCCAGCTGCAGCGTCCCCCCCCCCAAACGAAGTCGGGGTAAACCTGCTCTGGCCAAAGTCCCTGAGAGTGAGAACGCTGACGTCTGTGGGTCTGGTGTGTATCAGCAGAGCGTCATCAACACACACTGAAGAACTCCACCAACAGAAACATGCAGTTTTCTTTAGTTCACGTCTTACACTTTAGACCAAAGACCTGAGTGAGAATTAATCACAAATATTGGGATATCCTGTTCACAGGAAAGTCTGCACTTCTGTCTGTAGACACTAAGACAGAGCTCTCACCGCTGGACCTGGTCTGGGCCAAGTGCAGAGGATACCCGTCGTACCCAGCCATGGTCAGACGATTGGTTTTGTTTCTCATGTTGAACAACGTACATCAACTGTGACTGACCAAATGACCTCTTCCAGATCGTGGACCCTGACATGCCCCAGGAGGGGCTTCTTCACAACGGCATCCCCATCCCAGTGCCTCCTGTGGAGGTGCTCAAACTGGGCGGAGAGTGGAGGCGAACGGAAGAAGACGAAAAGCTCTTCTTGGTGCTCTTCTTTGACGCCAAAAGAACCTGGTAAGACACGTGTCACCAACATAAGGCCCGGGACCCAGATCAGTCTGTTTTTAGTGGCCAGTTCTGGTCCTGTGTCAAAATCTTCAACTGGAACTTCTAACTACAATGTGAAAGGCAGTCCTTTCACATTGTAGTTAAAGTCAGGTGGTTTTTCAACATAAAATAAATAATAAATAATTCCACAAAAAACAAAAGAGCAGGAGAACAACGTACAGGAGGTTCACGACGTCCTCGCCCGACGGCGTCTCCTGTTTGGTGAGTGGACGCTGAGGTGTTTGACTGTTTCCCTGTGGTTTTCAGGCAGTGGCTTCCTCGGGACAAACTGCTGCCGTTGGGGATGGATGACACCGTGGACAAACTGCGCCTACTGGAAGGCAAGAAACCAAGCGTGCGCAAGTCGGTTCACACGGCGTACGACCGAGCCATGGTGCATTTAAATCACGTGAGACACAACCTGAACTTCAGTCCTTCAAATTTTATATAAACATTTTTACAGGGCCGTCTCTCAGTCCTTGACATCATGGAAGCTTCGCTTCTAGATGCTTCTCCAGGAGGTGGAAGAGAAGAATTGCCAACGTTTCTAACCATCGTAGGTCTTTGAAGTTTTTCTGTGTAGAACCGATTCTCTGGTTTATAAACGGAGACGCACTTCAACAGATTTGTTTTGTAGACGAACTCGTTTGTTAATTCGTGTACTTTTTTTAAAAGAATGTTTTACACAACCACTATTTAAAAAGATATTTTAGGCTGAAATGATTGAAAGAAAAAGTGTAAATATTTCTGACCGGAGGGACGGAGGTTCGATTCCACATGTACTTGGACTGTGGTAGCCATAGAGATGTCACTGTGTTTTATTGAAGTGTGAAAAGTCTCACTTTATCTACACGTCACATCTGGACTTCAGGCCTGCAGGTGTCGCTAAAAGCAGATGTAAAGCCTGACTCATGAGTCAAGAGTGCAGGTGTCGCATCAGCGTTTCACGACGAAGCTTTTCCCAAAAGAATAAATAAGACTGATCCTTCAAACAGGCCAGAACCACGGGTTGATCACCACAGGACAGACTGATATTTCATTTGTTTGATTTTATGGTTATATTTATTTGGAACCACAAGTCCAGCTGTGACGTGCCGTGGGTGGATTTTGACTTATTTTTCCATATTGTGAAACTGTATCTTACGAGATAAGATGTTGAAGTACCTGCTGCAGCCACAGTGTGACGCCACTACACAGTCGAAGGTGGTTATTGTTAGGACGAAGTCTACTGTCGTTACCAAAGGTAGAGGTAACGGATTAACGGTCATCGGAAAAGTCACTGACGACATGTAGACGTGAAGACGTCCGCTGTAGGAACGAGAGACGGAATTAGACCACGCCCACCTGAGGTCGTACGCCCACCTGTGGTCGTACACCGCCTGAGGTCGTACACCACCTGAGGTCGTACACCACCTGTGGTCGTACACCTCCTGTGGTCGTACACCACCTGCGGTTGTTTTTTCTGGCTGAAAGCACAACATGGCCCTTTAAAAGAACAGTCAGAACAGGAGGGTGGACTCTGAGAGCTGCGTGTGGTTCCGGGTGTGGTGACGGTGCGTGTGTATAGTTCTGTAAATATGTAAATGTGTGTTTATATGGACCTACATGAAGTTATTTAAGGAATGCAAAAATCAAACGTAGATTTTAATTTATAATTTGTGGCAGTGGAGAATTGTTATTTAAAAGACAACAGAACTGTTGAAGATTTCTGTACGATGCTCAGTAACTCTTTGTAGTAGTGATGGTATGTCAGAATATATTCCCTGCACAGCTCCCCTGTGGTCTCCGTGACCACACTCAGACTCAGACATGTTCAGATTTGGAACAGGAGATTTTTGATCTTCGTATTTGAATTCTTCTTCTTCTTCTTCTGAACCCCAGGATCTCCAGATCTGTCTGAGACGATATTTTCTCACACCAGATTAAATACCGTTTGAAACAAGTGTGTGTGTGTGTGTCAACCGTTCCATGTCTGATACTGATGCTGCAGCTGGGAGTGTCAGCTGATGCTGATGCTGATGTCAGACTGATGTCAGTCTTCACTCCTTGTGGACGCCGCGGGCTGCTGTGGCGTCCGTGTCCCCGTTTACGACGAGTTATCGAACATTTGGGTGAAAATATCAGCTCTGGTTGTTTTATTGATGTTGAATCTTTTTACCAGTTTTGAGTGTTGGTCCGTCAGAGTTCAGCCGCGTGGCTTTCACTGCTCAGATGAATCAGGACTCGTGCGTTTGTTTAACCAGGTGATTATTTATTTATTTAACCGCAGACATATATTCCTTAAGACTTAGACTGAGTCGGACTGAGTCGACCGACACAGAGATCCGACCGTTCTCATCGACCATCTTCACAAAACTGTTCATCCAAAAGGAAAAGTACCTCAAAGTCAAACTCGCTCACTGCACCCCCTGGTGTCCACCAACTAGAACTATCTGCTGTAGAGCATCACTGGGGGCGTCTTTGTCAGACAACACCCCCCAGAGTGGTGACAGTTAAAATCACTGAGATAATTGGAGGGGGGTGGGGGGTGCAGGGGGGGTTGTGCATTTAATTTCTAATCAACCTGTAAAATAAATGAAGCTTCAATGGGACATAAATAGTGCTGGGGTGTGTGGCTTGTCAGAGCCCCAGCCTGTGACCCCTGTGTGACCTCTGTGTGACCTGCTGCGTCACATGACAACAGCGCCACCCTGGGGCAGTTCCAGTTGTTCACCAGGTCTAACTAGTGCATCAGCTACTGTAACATTAGAAGAGAAAGGTAGTTTTTGTCCTGGTCTGACCCGTCTGTGATGTCATCAACATGATTGACCAATCGTCTGTAATACATTCGTGGTCTGTGAGGAGAACTGTTCTAATAAGATGCAGTATTAAAACAACTATAAAAACATTTACATACAATTGCAAATATATTTAACCACAGTTCAGTTCAAACAGACGACAGGATTTCTGGGAAATAAAGCTGCACTGAATTTAATCCACGTTCTGTTTAATCAGAATATAAACTAATATATATATATATACACACTGGATATCCCAGATTATAAGTCGCTCTGGAGTATAAATTGCACCAGCCAAAGGATGAAAAAAAAGAGCGACTTATATTCCAGAAAATATGGTAGTGTGTGTGTATAAATATATATAAATTGGAATTTCAGATGCAGCTTTATTTAGGTGAAATACGGTAATGCTGTTTGGCCCCGACGGTTCGGGGGAAAGTAGTGATGCATGTCATGCCGTCCTGTTGGAGAAAGTAAAAGACGTTTGGCTTCTAAGAAGTCACTCCTCCTGAAAAAGTGTCAGACGTAGTGTTTTCAGTTTCTGTCGAGTCAAAACAAACTGTAGGAACCAGTGTACGGTGGTGAAGAGGGCGGAGCCACCGGTCCCAGACACACCGGTCCTATAGTAGAGACAGGAACCCGTTATCTGTGGAGTCCTGCTGGTCTGATTTGCCCCCCCGTGAGCTCTTGCTAGGATTTGGGGTGGTGGAGTATTTGGGGGGGTATCTGATGAAGAGGCGCTCCTCCTCCTTTTTGATCCACCTCAGCAGTTTAGTGATGGCTGTGATGGCACAGGCCTTGGTGACCAGAGGACTGAAGCAGGTGTACAGCTCAAATTTACTAGTGACCTGTAGAAAGAAGGGCTTGTCATCCAACTTGGCATAATGTGACCCCCCCCCCAGAATCACAGGAGCAGCGTCAACAGTTATCGACAGGACACTACTTACCCAGGCCAGTAGGGTTTCCCTCTCTGCCACGTGGTAGATGAGCTTCAGGGGCCGTGACGTGCTGTGGATGCGGCTGTGCATGTAGCGGTAAAGGTCAAGGAGTCGCATTTTCTCCTCCTCGCTGCTGTACGGCGCCTCCATCTCTGGGCTACGTTTGAAATCAATGTAAAAAAAAAATACAGTTACCATCAGACGCACAGCTACAGTCAGAGTCCGACTGGTAGCACACGGTTCAAGCACACACACACACACACAGACCTGGTGAACTGCGTGAGCTGGCGGTGGTTGTCTGGCACATCGAAGGGCTTGTACATGAAGTGTCGGAGGTCTGAGACGCCCACCTGGCTCACACTGTACGACTGGGCTTTGGCGATGAGGCTGAGGGAGTTCTGGGCCAACATGGCCTCCTCGATCTTCCTCTTGCACTCGGCCACGGCGTAGAAGGCCTCCTTGTCGGTGGAGAGCAGCAGCAGACAAACGGTGCACTCTGGAGGGTCCAGGTAGGAGATGTAGGCGTAAAAGTAACAGTCTGGGTTAAAGAGGGGGAGGCAGATGGGAGTCCAGATCTCCCCCGCCTGAAAGGCAGAGGAGGCGCCGATGAGGTTCAACAGGAGGTGGACGTCGGCCGGTTCCAGCCTGGTGTCCTCGATGACGGTTTTCTCTTGGACGATGGTGAGCAGCTGGTTCTTTGCGATGAGGATGGAGAAAACCAGGTTGGGCGTGATCGCTTTCTGCAAGATCTGACTGAGCGAGTCCCTGAGAGATGAGGCTAGGGGCAGGCAGTGTATGGCCGCCAGCAGGAAGCTGGGGTCCGAGTCCACCAGGTTGAGGAGGCCGTCCAGGATCTTCTCCGACCCCGCCAGGAGTCTCCGCAGGTCGTAGTTCTTCTTGTGTTCAAAGATGCGGGATATGCTGGCCTGAGTGAGCATGCTGATGATCTGGTAGTAGACGTAGAGCAGCTCTCCACGCAGCTGCTCCTCAGACTGCCGACTGCTGGAGACACACACCAACACTAGGGGGCCTTTCTGTAAGAAGACCACAGTGTGTCCCTCTGTGGAAGACACACACACACACACACACACACGGTCAGGGGATTAACGTTCTTTCAGTTTCTCCTACAGCGTCGCTCCTGTTGATGTTCATTGGTTTATAAATACAACACAGTTCTCACTAAAAAGAGAACTGAGAAAATCAGCACCTGCTGTGGTTTTTATGTGCTCTTTATAGTCAGGGAGAGGGGGTGGGGGGGGTGGAGGGGGGGTGAACGACATGATGCTCTTACCTGAATACACAGAGCGAATGATGTTGTCACCACTCTGTACAAAGGACACCAGCGCCATCATGACTCCCATTGTGGACGACAGAGCTTCTTCACTGCCATATCGAGAGTAAATAGGTTTTCCCGCCTCGCTCAGAACAAAGACGTGTTTCCTGTGCTCCCGCCAGCTGTCGGCCGTCACGTCCTCATCGCGGTGAGACATAAAGGCGGGGGTTTCCTCGGTGCCCACCTCCAACAGGGGGGACGACCTTCCTTTCACACCGATACCTTGTTCCTCCAGCTTGGCTTTGGCCAGCATCGTCACCACAAACTCCCCGGAGTCGCTCTGATCGATGTCGACAACGTCCTCCTTGGTTCCGCCGTCAGCCGTCCTGGAGTCATTGCTGTGACAGTCGGAGTTGTCCATGTCCTCCGTCTGTGGACTCTCTCTGTGGTTAGAGTCCGGCTCTTCATCTGGACGCTCATCGTGCACTGTAACATGTGACAGGTACGAATCTGGAGGCTCCTGTTGGTCAGAGGTGGCGCCGTCGTCCCGCTCCACTGGATAAGAAAACATATGGTTCCCCAGGAGGGACAGCGAAGTCGCCAAGGTGTCGGCTGAGGTCAGGAGGTCAGGAGGAAACAACAGAAATAACTGAATAATTAGGTGGAAAAAAACCATTAATCATGGAGTAGTAGAAGTAGTTCAACAGAAACGGGTTTACTGCAGTAGTAGCAACAGTTCTCAACAGTCACGACTCTTTGTCTCAACTTAATGAAGTGACAAGGATATTAAAAGTGTGTTCTCACAGACTCACCAGACGGAATGGTTTCCTTGAGTGGACGACAAATGTTCATTCCCTCTGCCTCTGCCTCTCCGTCTGGATGACCGTCTCTGTCCATGTTACATCCCAGGAGCTACACATGAACAGAAACTTACCACTTTCAGGAAACTCTTTAATACAAGTTAGAAAATCCAACCTCCACTTCTACCTGACCGTTTGTTTCATGAGAAACTCCTGATCTCTGGGACATCGTGCTCCTCCGGCCCCGTATGAATGGACTCACTCATAATGAACCAGTGAGAGGGTCACATGATAACAGAGGAATGATGCCGAACAAACATGACCAGTTTAGATCTGCAACCGCGAAGTTACTTGTGCGCTACTGGGAAACGACACTCGATTGGACGATATCTCTGCACGTTTTAAATACTTAAATGGCTTAAGGGATGCTAAGCTACTCCGTGCGGCTACTGCTGATCGACACACGCTGTTTTTTTATTATTCTACATGTTTGAAAGTAAATTCCAAAGCAGCTAAATCAATACAGGCTGGAATGTTTACATGGTGATTAGCAATAGCCGCTAGCAGTCACCCTTAAAGATCAATTTCATGGCCTGGGTTCAGCAAAGCAAGATATCGTCTTCATTTTCCTGGAAAAGAAGAAAGCACTCATTTAAACTTACGATTTCTTCCCGGTCACAGACAAAAGTTGAAAGTGTGATGTGCTGTATTCAGCTCCGTCGGCATCCCGGTAACAGAGGAGCTGTCAGAATGAGTAGCAGAAAACAAAATTTCTCCTTAGCACATTCGACATCCGGAGTCTCTCATGACAAACTCGACCGACCAATCGGCGTGTGTATCTCTGTGGGTTCCGCCTCTTAAAATGACGTAATATATTGACCGGGACTATGACGTGTCGAAGTGTTCTGTTTAAATAGAACAACTAATAATTGTCAAGATTTTAAATGTTGTATTCGCTGATGTGGGAATGTGTTATTAAAGTATAAATACATTTCTACTCAGTCAAAAATAAATATTTTAGATAAATACAAATTTTTTCGGCGTTCTTTCAGTTCAAACATGTATTAAAATGTCGTTTTGACTTAAAAGCCTCTTTGAAATTCTTACAGCCCCGTTGACAAAACTAGTGTGTTTTCATGCTACGTTAATACATAAATTCTGACTAGTTTTGAAGGCGATTAATGTGAATATTATTCTTTATTTTATGGATTACTGACGTTGTAGGGATAAGAATTTACCAGTAGATGGCAGCAACTCCAGTACACGACACAGAACGCCGTTAGACAACCAGAGAATAAAACGCAACGTTACGTCACTGTGCTGTCAGATTCCGATCTAAGAATATGGCGTTTTTATCGTGCTAACTAGCCTGCTAACTAACTCTGCGTCTTTCATCACCGCAGAGTTAACACGCTCGGTTGTACATGTGTCTAATGAACAGGGATGGATGAATCGTGGGACTTCGAGTTCCTGTCGCGCATCGCTGACAGCTGTTTGTCGTTTCTCTCGGAGTTCGTGGACGACTGGCTCGCCAACGACATGAGAGTATCCATATTCAAGATCCTTCTCAGCTGGTTGATTTTTAGTCTGATAGCCATTCACTTTGCTTGGAAAGTCTACGGGAACACGGTGAATGACATGTATTACAGACAAGGTGGGACGTCTGTACTTTGTCAGTAGTATCCCTTTGTTACGACATGTCGTTGTACTTAAACACGGTGACCAATAAGGAAACGTGGAATCATTGAAACCCACTGAAACAGACGCTCGTGAGCTTCATGTGTTTTCTCTCCTTCCTGTGTTCATGCTGCTGGACAGGGACCGGACAGAACGGAGGGACACCTGATGCTGCCCCCGACCTCAGCGGATGGTAGGTGGCGCTCTGTTCATTCAACCAGTGGCTTCACCCACTCCACATTGTCTTTCCACGAGTTTGGTTTTAATACAGGCTTCAGTGGTGAGTGTTTGGTTGGGAAGTTTAGACATGAGTGGAGCAGAGATCATGGATGTATCAGGATGTTGGGAATGAAGTTGTGAAGCAGGAACAACAGTCAAGAATAAAGAATGATTGATGAGACGATGACTGTTACAATGACTCGGTGTGTGTGGAGTGATAACTCTTTAACAGTGACAAAATGAATTTACAACAAAGTTTAAAATGTTTGAACAAAACTTATTTCCATTTGCTGGTTAAACAAAGCTCAGTAGGACCGTAGTTGATAAAGTTGAAGTCGTAATCTGTTCAAAAAGACTTGAAAGCAGTGATTAGTTAAAGATTAGATTAGATAAGGTTTGTTCACTGCTCTTTCTCAAACATCTTGTTTTCTTCTCCTTCTGTTTGTTGGATTAATTCGACTCCACCCTTTCTTTCTTGGCACAGTCAGCCACTGCTTCAACTGACACGTTTCTTAGTGTTGTTCACACTCTGACTACAGCGACCGAGGGTTGTTGTTCAGTGATCAACATGTTTTTATCATTATTTTAGCTCATGAAACATTCTGGACGATATATTTCACACTGAGTGAGTGTCTGTGCTGACAGGCTGTTGCACAGTGGGGTCAGTGATGTGGTCACATGTCAGTGTTGATCTGTTGGACCCCGCCCTGTTTTTTTTTTTACCAGTTATCTAGGAAGGGTACACGTGCTGTGCTGCATCACTCTCTTATCGTCTGAAGTTTTGTAATCCTCTCTCTCGTTTACTTTTTCTGCAGGGCAAGCAAAGCAGATGAAGACATGAAGAGTCACAGGGATTAGCAGGAGGGAGGATTTGAAACAAACGACTGGTGAAGAGTTCACGTCCTTCAGGGATGCCACCGTTTCTGACAGAAAGTTTCATTGTCAGTAAATTCAGGATGGAATCACCGTCTGATCATGACTGCCTGGAGAAACATGTTACCGTAGTATAACATCCTGTGTCGTGGACTTGATTTGGTCAAAAGACTGTGAGCTGTAAAATAATGTCCTATTTTTAATGAAGAAACAGGATTGCTTTGTTTACCATTTCATATTTTATGGACTTTTCTTTTAATACATTTTAGATTGTGATTATATAAACTGAAAAAAAAATAAAATCAACCCTACTGGTCAAAAAATACGTTTCAGATGTGATGAATCTGTCAAGAGCAGAAAAAGACATTCTTGAGGAAAATGAAATTTACTTTTTTTTTTTTACACATAACACTGTTGTAATTTGCTTAAGAATTCAGTCAGTGATGTTAAGTCAAAGCATGAGGAAAATCAAGGTCAACACAAGAGAACTAAACTAAACCTGTCTCTCTTTACTTTCATACTAGACTGGTTTCACAACACTTATTAAATTACAACATTACTGAGAATTGTCAACCGTACTCCCTGGAGCTGTTTGCTGTTTTGGATTCTGTGAACTGTGAACTGTGTTACTGAACCACATCATCATCATCATCATCATCGTGTACTTTTATCTTTCTGTTACAGGAATTGGAGGAATCAGTAGCATGTGTACATCCATCACATTAGTGCACGTTAGACCGGGGACAAGTAGGCGCTGCCCTTCAGAGAGTTGTGAAAAAAATGTGTAAGAATCGTTGTTGTGTAGAAAGCTGCTGATGTCCAGTCCCTGTGTTTGTGCCTCTTCATACAGCCCCCCATCAGTCGTAGCCCCCGCTGCCTCCGTGGGTCCGTCCTGACCATCGGTGCCTCCGCTCAGGAACACTGGACCATCAGGGGGCAGCGGTAAGCCTCTCAGCTCCAGTCCAACTCTCATAGCCAGCTCCTGGTTTCGCCCCCCCCGACCTTTTCCTGTCAGCTCCACAGTGGGCTCGCCTCCTGCTAACAGACAGGTGGCGCCCCATCCCTCTGTACGCCCTTCTTCCAAGATCTTCAGGATTCTGTGCAGGTCCCAGCTCTGCACACCAACTTCAGGCCCGAGCTTTAGCACCTCAGCAGATACTTCAGGGGGGGGGTCGTCCTGAGCACAGGCCAATCGAGCCAGGAGGCCGTAGAGTCTGGCAACTGACCTGACATCTCCACAAACTCCTGGAGACAGAACAACAGGTCGGAAGCCCAGCTCTCTGGCACGGAGGCCTGCACGTTTGAGGGCGATGCTGTTGGAGCCAACCACAAAGTTGAAAACGTTTTCTGACGTATCGTCGCTCCAAGGATTTGGTTTTGCAAGAACTTCCTTCACTGATGATGGTAGAGAGTCTAACAGTTTGTATCGTTCCAGGACAGAATAGACGTCCTCAGACCTCGAGTCCCCGCAGACCGTGGGACCACTGGCTATCAGGTCCAGAGGGTCTCCGATCACGTCAGACAAAACGAGAGCTACCACCTGTGGAGGGATCACAGGAAAATTATTGGAGAAAAGAACTGTCGGAAATACAAAAGTCAGAAACGATGTGAAATGTTACCTGCGCAGGACGAGCGTGGCGTACAAGTCCTCCACCTTTTAGGAAAGACAGGGCGCGGCGGACTGTGTTCAGCTCCTGGATTGTGGCTCCAGCAGCAGCGAGTCTACGGGTCAAATCCAGTTTCTCTTGCAACACGATCGGTGGGACGGGTGCAGGTAAGAGTGCAGAGCCTCCACCTGACCAGGTTCAGACATAAACTTACATTTGTCACCAAGAGACGTGAGTGAAAAAAAACAACCCCATGAAACAAAGTGTTCACCTGAAATCAGTACCAGGAGCAGGTCCTGGTCGGTCAGCTGACCGGCCAGGTTCTTCATCTGTTCTGCTGCCTCCTGAGCGTCAGCATCAGGTAGGTTGTGTTTGGCTCCCTCGACCACTTTGATTGGACTGTTCTCTTTTAACAACAGGTGGCTGTAACGGAAATGAAACAACGTTTATGTTTTTATTCCGTGTTTTTCACACTAGGACTTTTTACCGTTCACTCACTCTCTTCCGTGCTGCCTTAACGTCTGTTGAATACCATGGGGCACACTGATGATTCCTTTCACAAGGTGATCCCCCACAATCCTCTCTGCCTCGGCAGCCATTCCCAGTACGGCTTTCCCAAAACCGACCAGGTGCAGGTTGTGTTTGAGAGTGAATTTCTGACCGCTGATAACGACAGAGTCGTCTCTGCGTTCTATACTCTGTCGCACCACAGTGTCAGGCTGCACGGACTCCACTGCTGCTGCAAACACTTGGCGTGCCCTCCAGTCCATTGACATCTTTCTGTATGCAGGTTTGCTCCTGTCCACCAGGGCCAGGAGAGGCTGAACCCGAAACAAGGAGAGGACACGTGCCATGGAGTCTTCACTGGATCAGACCACAGAAAACCTGAGGAGAAACAACGTCACGTTTAAGGACATTCAGAGCAGAGTGGTTGAGTTTGTCAACGTGAGTTCCTGACAGGACTTTACCTCTTGGTAAAATGAACTGAAAATGGTGAGCAGTCACAAAAAGACAGAGCAAACGTCATCAAGATCATCAAGTCATCATCAACATCAAATCAGTTTAAAAAGACAGAGCAAACGTCATCAAGATAGTACAATGTTGGTGAACATTTACATCAAATCAGTTAAAAAAGTTAAAAATCAGTCAAATAAAAAGGCAGCTCAGACGAAACGTGTCAGTCTGGTGTTAAATGAAGCTTCCTACCTGTGAAGAACAGACTGGTGGATTCATGGAGCAGTCATGGTGTGTGTTAGAACTCTGACTGGACTTGTGTACCTACTGAGTAATAATTGACTTGAGTGTAATAACGTCACGATGAGGGGGAGATTGTGGTGTGCGCCCCCTACAGCATGTAACCACTCTACCACTGTCCTCAATACAAAAGAAACACCCACATATTGTTGCTCCATATCAGCCACTGACGTTGTCTTTCGGTGCAAAGCCTGGTGATCTTTTATCAGTACCGTTGAGCAACATGGTGTAAATCAGAACGAGAATAACGAAACTCTTCAACCTTGACCTGACTGAGAATCTTCACAGACAGTTTAAAATAAGACATAAGAGTCATTTGTGTAAAGAACGGATCATAATAATAATAATAAAGAACGTGCATTCCTCACGTCAGTTTAAATAAAGACACAACAGTTCGTGACTCGACTTGTTGTTGGTCATGTATTTGTTTACTCAACACTGTCTCAGGATCTACCTGTTTCACACACTGACGTACGCAGAACACTTCAGGAATGACTCTCGGACGGAGCATGGCCGTGAATTAACGTCCCTCTTGAGTTTAACGCGTCGTTTTTCAACGTTCTTTTTTTAGTTCGTTTTGAAGCAGTGCTCACAGTCTTCTCCTTTTGCGAATCGAGTCTCTATCGCTGTACGCAATAGGGTTGGGTGAGAGAGTGGGTTTGTGGGTAACTGAGTCTTTTTGGTTCTGGTACATTGTGAAATGTTTAAAATAAATAAGTTTGAACTATATCGATGCCATAATTGTGTAACTTCTGTGTAAACGGCAGTCTATATCGATGCCATAATTGTGTAACTTTTGTGTAAATGGCAGTCTGCCCCCAGAGAATCGAAGGTTCTTCTGAGAATCGAACCCAGGACTGTCTGCGTCCGAGGCAGGTGTGAGAACCACTACACTAGAAAATGACAAACAGTTACTTAATGGAACCGACCGTCCGTAGACATGAAGTAAAAAAAAAAAAGCTGTGGACTAAAATAATTGTATATAAAAGGGTGGTGTAATAATTATATTACATTAGAGAAAGTTTTAAATTCACTTATTATTTACAATATTGTATTTTCGAGGAAACGTCACTGTAACTGTCACATATCGCGATGATCACTGAATCTCGTGGTTTCCCGTGTAGTTTTGTGAAACTCCGCGTAACTGACGCGTCGAAGGCGGTGCGTTTTCCCTCCCACAGAGCGGAAAGTGTAGCAGCCGCGCTTTCTTTGTCGATTTTATACCGCAGACTCTTTAGAAACATTTCTAAGAGGTTTTCCGTTTCATATAATTTATAAAGCGAAATACGTAACCCATATAGGGTGATTTAAAGTGCGAAGGAGGGCCCGTTTCCCTTCAGACTCAGACGGGCCACCATGAAGCTAACGGACAATGTGCTGCGGAGCTTCAGGGTAGCTAAGGTGTTTCGAGAAAACTCCGACAAAATCAACTGCTTCGACTTCAGTTCAAACGGAGAAGCGATCATTTCCAGTAGCGACGACGATTCCTTGGTTTTATACGACTGCCAGGATGGAAAGTGAGTGGACTTTATTATATTAATGCCATGTTTTTCTTCAATAACTGCCGGCTATGCTAACTAGCGAGGCCTGCTATGCTGCAATAAAACTACGGCGGTTCGATGCAATGTTCAGTGCCTTAAATTACAGAGGGAAACAACGATTTGAAGCTAAATATGTATTTTTTCTAAATCAGTTCTAGCACAATTACAATACAATTTCGCATTTGGTGTAATTGGGACATTTTTGTTGAAATGTAACATCCTGGTTTTTGTCACGCGAAATTGTTAATACTTAATATATAACGGCTAATTTAACATTACATAACAGTTATCACCCACAGAAGCAATATAATAATCTGCAACCATGTCAAAGACTAACGACACTTAACGAAGTGGTTTGTGTCTCAGTCAACAGTTTTCTGGTTCGACTTCAGCAATACAACATGTTTAGTGTTTCAATAAAGATCTAATTTGGAGAGAGGGGGTGGGGGTGTTGAAGGAGATTTACCTACACATCCAATACATATCCACTGGGACATCAACCTGTACTGGTGGCAGAAAATATATATCTTTCTATTTTTAATAATTTCTCTCTGCTTTTTGTGATTTATCACAGACCTAAGAGAACTCTCTACAGTAAAAAGTATGGAGTGGATCTCATCAGATACACACATGCTGCCAACACCGTGGTCTACAGTTCCAACAAAATCGATGGTATGTTACTACGCAGTCCCTTTTTTAGTCCTGGTCTGTCGTTGATAATACTGATGGTTTCCTCCCTTTTTTAGTCCTGGTCTGTCGTTGTGCAGTGAAATGACATAGATGTTAAGTTCAGTGTTGATAATACTGATGGTTTCGTCGCAGCTGCAGACTGATCTGAGTGGACACTGTACTCACTGTGGTCTGAGGTAGTTGTTTGTACAGTTTGAGGGTCTGTGATTCTGCCCCATACAGGAGCTAACTGTACAAGTGACTGCCTTGCCCACGGTCGAGTTCCTTCTTCACACCTGCCTGTGTTCCACTTGTGGGATTTTTATTGATTTATATATATATATATATATTCAATTCTTGATTCTTACCTGTGTTCATATTTCATTATTTCTTTCCAATTTCCTTTAAGATACTATTCGATACCTTTCCCTCCATGACAATAAATATATCCGGTACTTTCCTGGACATATCAAAAGGTGAGGACTGAACGTTTGCCCTAATGTTTCTTGTTTTTTACTAAGAATTAGTTGTCTTTGTTTCTAATGGTTTTCTTTTGTTGATTTCCAGAGTGACGACTCTCTCCATGTCTCCTGTGGATGACACCTTTATTTCTGGCTCATTAGATAAAACCATCAGGTTGTGGGATCTGCGGTCTCCCAACTGTCAGGTGAACATGACAGTAGTTGAACCATGATCAATCACGGTAACAGACAAATGTTGCTGGTTCTGACATGTTCTGGCTGTCTGTCCATGTCAGGGTCTGATGCACCTCCAGGGGAAACCAGTTTGTTCGTTTGACCCTGAGGGGCTTATTTTTGCTGCTGGAATAAACTCGGAGATGGTCAAACTTTACGATCTGCGCTCATTTGACAAGGTTAGAAGATTTGGTATGTCTAAAAGAATGTTAAAGATTTGGACATGTTCAAAACTCTCACCTGTTGAAGCTTCACAGAAGTGTCATTTGCTGCTCTTTGTCAACAGGGTCCATTTGCAACCTTCAAGCTCCAGTATGACAGAACCTGTGAGTGGACGGGGCTCAAGTTCAGCAATGACGGAAAACTAATCCTCCTTTCTACCAATGGTGGCGCTCTTCGCATACTAGATGCATTCAAGGGTGCTGTGCTGCATTCCTTTGGGGTGAGACATGGAACTGGAATTTTATAGAAACCCAAACGTCTTTTTATGTCACTGAACCTGTTGACTCATTCACGGTGATGTTGGTTCACCCACAGGGCTACAACAACAGCAAAGGTGTAACGTTAGAAGCCTCTTTCACCCCCGATTCACAATTTGTAATGATTGGTAAGTTCAAATGAGATTTCTTTTTTTTTTATATATAAATACTTCCACGGATAAGGAATACAGTAACAGACTGCGCAGTGTTTTTTTTTTTTGCATGAACTTAAGAGTGAGATCGGATTAACGTCTTTGTTAGGAGTTACTGTTGACTGAGTTAAATTAAAGAGTTTACAGTCAGTTAGAAATGACGGATTATGGTCGTGTGGGAAAGTTAGACTCTGGGACTGAAGCTAAGTCACTTGTCAATCCAACTGAGTCGTGAGCTCTGCAGTAGCCCAGCTGTACAACAGGTGTCGCTGAAGCACTAATTGGTCAAATGAATGTTGTGAAGAAGCAGTCGTTGGTGCTTAGTGTCCGACTGATGCAGTTTGTGGACATATTCCAGGGTCAGAAGATGGAAAGATCCACGTGTGGAATGCAGAGAGCGGCATGAAGGTGGCGTTATTAGACGGGAAACACACGGGACCCATTACCTGTCTGCAGTTCAACCCCAAATTCATGACGTTTGCAAGTGCTTGTTCTAACATGGTGAGTTTGTTTTCTGGACAGAGTTGATGCAGCAGTGGTTTAACTTTTAACTTTTTTTTTTTTTTTTTTTACATTAATTCAGGTTTTTAAAAAAAAAAATTATCCAAGTGTGTGTGAATGAAATAATTTAACTTTAAATCTTATATTTCAGGCTTTCTGGCTGCCAACCATAGATGACTGATGACAGAAAAAGAAGTCAAAAGTCAATATGACCAGGAGGGGGCAGTACAACCACTTCTGTGTTCACAGGACAATGCAGCGGGGATGGAAGATTCAATTGTATTTAAGTAGTTTTCAAAGAATCTTTTTATTTCTAATGTCTTTTTATACTGTATTTAAAAATGACCTTTCTTTGTAATATTTGTCAAATGATTGTGTTTAATGTTTGAGATTAAAAATGTAATTTCCTAACTGTCCTAACTGACATTTAATTGCACCCTACACAAAGATCATCGTCGTAAAACTGGAAAAACCTGAGAACAAATGTTTAAGTGTTCATTTTTAAAATGATTTTGTTTAAACAAAGTTAAAGAGTAAAGAAGGATTTTTACTTGATGAAAACAACTGGTCTACAGGTGAAATCTCAGGGAGAGGGTTGTTTTTTTGGCTCAGTTCATCAGGTTTGCCCCCCCCCCCCTCCTCTGCTGCTGCTGGTGTGTGTGTGTGTGTGTGTGTGTGTGTGTGGTGGGGGATGTTCACAGACCAGTCACTGGGACTGCACAGTCAGTCAGCTAAATTTGGTGAAGCGGTGATCAGGTTCCCGTCTCTGTGAACACATGATACTGTCCTAGTTCCATGTCCCTTCTCCGTCTGTCACTGAGTCCAGACTCTCAGCACTTGTTCTCTACAGCAGTCAGGACCGGAGGAACCAGAGTCAGGCCGTCTGAAGTCAACCTTGGTCCTTCATCCGGGCTCTTTTAAATCTTTATCTTCTGGGGTTCTGAGATTCTGTGATTTTAGACCTGGTCTGGTGGAGCGGTCGTTCTGTTCTTGTGCTGTTTCTTCTGCTTCTGCTTCAGGCGGGAGAAGGGAGACCACTGAGCCGCCATGTTCCTGGCATTGGTGGTGACCCCGGAGCTGAGGGAGTTCCTGGCCAGAGCCAGAGGTGGAGTAGTGCGCCTCCTGAAGGTGTGCATCCGAGACGGTGAGTGACCCCGACACACAGTGACCTTAGAGAACCGCTGTCGTTACAGTGGACCTCAGTTCTGTTCTCAGTCAGAGAACCTTCAGTCAGAGAACCTTCAGTCAGAGAACCTTCACAGACGAGAAGCCTCCACCTGTCTGGACACGTATGTTGATATTTGAAATAAGTTTAAATCCTTTAAAAAAAAACATGTTTTTGTTCCGGTTCATTGAACAAAAGAGTGAGAGGAATCTTTTTAATTAGGTAAAATTTAAAACAATGAATCCAGGTAAATATGTTAAAGATAAATGATTACATTTATGAATCCATACAAAAATGAAATGAAACCAACAGAGTTTTTTTAACCTTTTGTCAAACTTTATTCTGTAAATTAATGAATACATTTCTTTAAAAAGTTGAAAAATCTCCAAATGTAAAACATTATTTAGAAAAACGTTGGGGTTTTATGACCAAAATACAGTCTGTTTATTTTATTATTTATGAATGTATTTATTCACTTTGACAGAAACATCCACTTCCTGAGACACACACACACACACCGCGTCTGTTTTTAGTAGAAATATGTGCCCGTATATTAACCCCGACGTGTCTGAGGAGACGTTGACCACAGACAGGAAACACAGGAAACACTGAGTCTTCCTGGAAGGTCAAGACCAGGCTGCTGTAGGGTGTGTGTGTGTGTGTGTTTTCCTGGTAAAGCTGTACTTGTGGGGATAGTTTATAGAGAAATACAGGTTTCCACTGAGTGAGTTAGTAGAAAATAATTGAACTGTAATTTAGGATTATGGGATTGGGCAGTGATTCCCATCACTGTGCCGAGGATAACTGTCCAATTTCACTGATTTGGTCTGAAAACGATTATTTATTTATTGCATGTGATTTTTTTTTGCTTGTCAAAGCATGAAAGGCAGGACAGTTAAATCCTTTTCTGCTAGGTGGCAGCAGAGAGCTGAGTGACTTTCTTCAATTCCTGCCGGTTTATCAGTGTCGTCTTCAACATTTGGTCATTTAAACTAGAAGATTATTATACTGTAAAACATGAACTCTACATCAGATGTTGGTTTGGTGACGTGGGACAGAGAGAGTGTGTGTGTGTGTGTGTGTGTGTGTGTGAAAGATGAGGCGTTCACTGTCACCTGAGCTGTGGGTTCAAAGCTGCTCAGTGTGGCACTAGATTTCCAGGTAGGTCATCCTTGACGTGTCCTCACTGCTGCCTGATGTGTTTACATGTTCGTCCACTGGTCATGTGACTCACGACAGATGCATCCTGGGAGCAGTTGTGACTATTTTGGTGGTGATGTTTCTGCCGGTCCTACTCAGTGTTTGCCCTCATATTTGCGATGCAGAAGTGCCTGTCCGTACGAGTGGTGACAGAGAGCGGGCTACTCTTACAGCCAGGTGGCGTCAGCCCGCTTCTGCCTCCTCACCGCAGCACTTTGATCCCAGTGGGGCATCACTGGGTTATTTAGAGCAGCCGTGGCCCAGTGACTCCGTGTCACGGTGTTTGTGTCAAAGTCAGAGCAGCAGTAAGATCACAGTTGTTGGTTTCATCATCGTGTGATCAGTGCACCTCCCCCCGTCTCCCCCGTCTGCCCCCGTCCTCATCTGATCAACCAGTGACATCACCGCCCTGACCTGAACTCTGTTCTGGTGCAGATGTTCTGCTGTTGTGGTTCTGGACGTCTGTCTGTTTGAGACGTATTCAGTTGGACACAGACTGGAACTACAGACAGAGAAAAGCTGATGGAAAGAATGTGTTTGTGGAACTGGAATGTGTTGCAGCTAAAAATAGAATCATGTCCCAAGAGACAGTCATCCCCGCCCCCCCCCCACCCCCACCACGTGTCCCACAAGGACACTTGTTTTTGTGTTTATGCTTCTGATTTGAGCAGTTGCTCAATCGAAAACATCGGGGTCTTGGTTTTCATTGTTGACACTTAGATATAGATGGGACGGTGGCAAAGGTTAGCACCCCCCCCGACCCCCCTCCCCCCAGGTCCTCCCTGACGTCAGGCCTCAGTCTGCAGCAGATACACTGGACCGGTCTGAAGTCAACGACTCCCACGTCGTGATGTCATCATGATGTCATCATGATGTCAAATGTTACAGTAGGACACAGTCTGTCCACTGGGTGGCAGTAACACCAGTCCTGACTATCTGTTAGTGGTGACTGCAGGTCAGCCGGCCCTGTGGGTCAGTGGGTGGCAGCATGTGCTGAGGTATGTGATGAGCTGTGGTCTGATTTCAGAGCAGCTGGTGCTCGGGACCTGCAGAGAACCAGAGAAAAGCTGGGACCAGGACTATGACCGATTTCTGCTTCCCCTCCTGGACGACCAGGAGCCCTGCTACATCCTGTACCGCCTTGACTCCCAGAATGCTCAGGGCTACGAGTGGATCTTTATTTCCTGGTCTCCAGATCAGTCTCCAGTAAGAAACACCATGACTCACTAGTTTTCTACTCTTTCTACACAGTTTATCATATGGGACACAAGTCTGCAGCTCTCTGTTGCCTCCACACGGGGGAGCTACAGACAGTGTTTAAGATCATCCACTAGACCGAACAAATACAGGAGCAGCAGTGCTGAGCTTCACCAGAAATTACTGATGATTACTGATTATCGTTAATTACTGATGACCTTTGACCTCTAGAATATCACAGTAGGTGTGACTGTCAGACATGGCTCCACTCTGTGACTGCAGGTGAAACAGAAGATGCTCTACGCCGCCACTCGGGCCACACTCAAGAAGGAGTTTGGCGGCGGCCACGTGAAGTACGAGATGTTCGGCACAGCTGAGGTCAGAACCCTTTAGATGTTATCACTGTTATGACCCTTGAGTTGACTTTGGGGGGTCAGGGGGGTCGGGGGGGTCACCCTGACCACAGATTAAAATTGGACTTAAAAGTCAAAGTTAGCCTTAAGTGAGCGGTCGATCGGTGGAAACCTCTACCGTCCTGGTCCAGAACTCAAATCAACCGTGAAGTGAGGCGTGAACGCTGCAGTGACTTCTGACTGAGAAACGGCGTCACATTCACGGTCGAAGTATGTGGACGATGTCACCGCTCGAAACCACAGCTGGTGAAAAAATCAACCACATAAAGATCACTGCATACCAGAGGGAAGACATCATCCACAAGGTGAAGTGAGGTTGACCCCCCCCTCGCCCCTCCCCCCCCAGTTAGGTGACAGCTGATGTAAACACTGAGTGGATGATGTAGAGTCACTGTGGGAGTGGGCGACACGGGGGCTCAGTGGAGATGATGTTCAGACTGTCACTGCTGATGATGTCTGTGAGCCGAGTCAGTGTCTGTGGTCATCACAGACACTGAGGAGCTCCGGCTCAAAATAAATCAAACCTCATGATGTTAAAGTTTGTGTTTCCCTCACGACGTTAGGAGGACGTCTGTCTGCTGGGTTACCAGCACCACGTGACATCCTGCTCAGGACCCGCCCCGCTGACATTAGCTGAGCAGGAGCTCCAGAGGATCAAAATCACTGAGGTGAGGGGGTCGTGGGTCAGAGGTCAGGGGGTCAACATGTCCTTTATCTACATGACACACACACAACTTTGTATTTCAGGTTTTTCTTTTTTCTGCAGATGTCCCGTTTGTGTAGAATTGTCCTTTAATTCTAATGTAACACTGTGTTGTGTTGTCTTTTAAAGGGACGAGTGAAACAGGTAAGACACGTGTGTGTGTCTAGAACCTTCTTTGGTTTCATGTTTTGTTTTTCGTAGAATTCTAATGTTCATTTGTTTGCAGTGAAAATAAATGTGAGACAAAAACTCCCAGCCGTCTGCTGTGGTGACTCTTGACGTGGCTGCTTGCTGCCCCCTGCAGGTGAACACGGAGATCAGCGTGGACTGCATGCACCAGACACTTCAGGGCCTGGCCTTCCCTCTGCAGGAGTCAGCCAAGAGAGCCCTCCAGCAGCTGGCTCAAAGGCACGTCAACTACGTCCAGCTGGTGAGTGTGAGCTGCCGCTGGTCCGACCGCTGGTCCGGCCGCTGGTCCAGACCGAGGCAGTCCTCCAGCTACAGGTGGCGCTGACGTGCTGGTGTGTTCTCTGTTCTTTGCTCTCCAGCGGCTGGATGTGGAGAAGGAGATCATCGAGCTGGTCCATTCCAACCCGACAGAAATCGTAGATTTGCCCCGCAGAGTTCCCAAAGACACTCCCAGATACCACTTCTTCCTCTACAAACACTCCCACGAAGGAGACTGCCTGGAATCAGTCGGTGTGTGTGTGTGTTTGTGTTCACTTTCTGATGCAGTAACTAGTCTTGGTTACTAGTCTTTACTACTACTGTTTTATATGAACTTTTTAAACTCAAACGTAGAGACTGAACTTTTTATAGACACGGTTTCCCGTCTTTTCTCTCTCTGTTCAAACATGTGTCAAAGATGAAAGTGTTCATGTTCAATATCTGGGCTTCATTTGATGAAGTCAGTGGAAACACTGAGGTCTGTGCTCTAACTAAAAACAAACCTTAACTATGTTAGTGCAGCTGTGAGCAGTTTAACCAGTCATCAATCTGTGGTAGAAACTCTTGGACTGGAACGTCATTGGTTCGATTCCTGAGAACAAATCTACCGAGAATGAGGATGGTTTTATTTTCAGTGTTTTTTCCTTTATTTTCCTGCGTTAACCCTTGACCTCCTGATGACCTCTGTGGTCTCCTGATCCTTTATGGTTCTCCTGTCTCTCCTCAGTGTTCATCTACTCCATGCCTGGATACAGCTGCAGCATCAAGGAACGAATGCTCTACTCCAGCTGCAAGAGTCGCCTCCTGGAGGAGGTGGAGAGAGACTACGGTCTGGAAGTAGCTAAAAAGGTATGTAACCAGGTCAGCTGGGGTCACGGGAGGGTCGGGGGGGCACTGGGGGGGGGGCACCGTGTTGTCTCTGATGTCTCCTACAGTAGTGTTTACTGTTGGAGACATTTTGAAAAACATTAATTAATGCCATAAAAGTTTTAGTTTTAATAAATATAACTTTACCCCCAAAAAACATTGTTTAATCATTCACAAAAATCCTCAACAATCTTAATAAAATAAAGGTGACGTGTCTTCAAGTACCTCAGTTTGAGGACCGTTGGTCTAAGGAGATAAAAACGTTTTCCGACCTAAAGTTTGAGGCTGAGAAACAAAACTAAACAATAGAGAAAAAAAAAGTAGTTTTTTTTTTTTAATGAGGAAACGAGTCGACGATCAGAGAAGAGACGGAGGCGTCGCAAAAATGTGAGGAGACAAAGTCTGCGGTGAAACAGAACTGAATGTCTCTTCACTGGTTTGATCCTTCAGTTGGAGATCGACGATGGAGATGAACTGACGCAGCAGTTTCTCTACGACGAGGTCCACCCCAAGCAGCACGCTCTCAAACAGGCCTTCGCCAAACCGAGGGGCCCGGCCGGGAAGAGGGGACACAAACGCCTCATCAAGGGCACAGGAGAGAGCCTGCAGAAGAGCTAGAGCTGAACCCAGGACCTCCTGGCAGCTCCTCGCATTTCTCCTGCTCTTCTCACTAACACGTCGTCAGGACGGAGGAGAGAACACCCACACACACACACACACACACACACACACACTCACTCACACACACACTCTGTCTGTCTGCTGAAACACTCTGTTAAAACCCATGTCTTCATGTCAGACGAACGCGTTAACTGCGGCGGTGATTGTCAAAATATTCAGAGTAAATGGAGTGAAGGAGTCGGGATGAAAGTGTTCCGTGTTTCCCACTGACCGCAGGATAAATCACATCTTTACAACATGACTTAAATGACATAAATGTCACGGCTCCGGCTCTCGTGTTCTGCGTTCGATAAATGTTCAACAGCGTTTGTAGGAAAATTACACCCTGAAACAAAACAAAATAAAATCTTGTGTTTATACTATGACATCAGACCTCTTAAAAAATGTTTTTTTTATATATCCAATCACGTAATGTTTACATCCTGGAAATGTTAAGAGCTACAAAAATGTTATGGTTTCCTTCCACCGATGTGTTCGTCAAAGACAAATGCACTGAATAAATTTAAAATTACTGAAATCAAAATCAAACTCTTATATTTGGACGTTTGTCTTTGGAATATTAAGCCTTTCTTTTACATCATATCTTATCTCAGCTAACAGGAACTAGCCTAGTGCTAATCTTCAGAAAAAATGACGCAGTGGCCCAAATATGTTCAGAAAGATCTGAGAGGCTTCTAAATAGCTTGTAGCTAAGCTAACCAAAAGCTAAAGGTCACTTGAGATTTAAGAGCAGAGCTAGTCCAGAACAGAGTTTGGTCCAGAGTTGAGGTGAAAGTAACGTAAAAATTAGCACAGCCTTGATGTTCCTTACGTTAAAAAGATGTAATAATTAAAGATAACGACAACGGGAGTTTAACGGACCAGACGTCCTTTAGGTTCAAGAAGTGGACTGTGTTTTACTCTAATGGAGAACAGTGGAAAATTACATTTCAGAAAAGGAGCAAAACACTGACACCAGGTGGACAGTGTCTCAGGACTTTGGACATGACTGTTAGAAATCAAATATTTAAATGTTTAACTGAATTGGTCAGCTGTGTTACTGAAGGTAACTGAACTAACTAGTTGGTCTGACGCTGACTCTGTCTTCTGAGGACAGTTTAATAAAGAAAACCTGGACTACAGTAGTCCTCGCTGGTGAACCAGGGTCAGGGGTCAGGGGTCAGGATCCTGTCCTGGAGGAAAGTTTTCTGCCCTGAGGAGAATAACAACGTTGCTCGGTGGTTGTGCGGCGGTTGTGCGGTGGTTGTGCGGCTGTAACCACTTAACAAAGAGCTGCTCTTGAAAAGTATATTCTTTCGACATAGAACGGATGAATTCATACCTCTGCTTCCAGTCACGACTCTTCTTAGAAGCTCTAGGAAAGTTCTGTGAACTTTCCTAGAGCTTCTAAGAAAACAGCAGGTTTTGATTTTGTCCCGTTAGTGAGACCTCGGTGAGTTCTGGGGAAGTCGTGCCACTTAAAGATTCAGAAGTTAAATATACCACAGATACCAGCGCTGACACTGGTGGAGCATGTGGTGTCGGTGCGTGAGTGCAGCCACAGAGATTAAGGAAAAAGTCACAGCTTGGAAGGATTCCATGTTTTGGTGGTGGGGGAGGATAGGATTCCATGTTTTGGTGGTGGGGGAGATGGGGGAGGAGGAGGGAGTTCATCTCAGGACTGTTGGAGAAGAAACGTTAAACTTCCAGTTGTTATGACTTTTCAGTTGGTGTCTGTGGTTCTCAGTAAATGAATGAATAGAAGAGATGTTAAAATATAAAAAGTTTGTATTTGATGACGGTGATGATCACATTTGCTGGTGATGCTTGTGATGGTAATGTACGAAGTGCTAACGATGATAACCATAACGACAACGATAATGCTAACATCAATGCTAAAAGTAACGATGACAATCATTTTAGTCTTAACGCTGAAGACGACAACAAACTATGATGACGACGGTAATAAAAAATATTTTTAAAACAAACAAACTCCGTGTTTAAAGACAACCGACCCGTGTGTCTGTGATCCAACATCTGAGTCTGTGTTTCAAAGATGAAAAGAACTTCAACTCTTATCAAAGAAATGTGTAAACCTATCATCTGTGATGAGCTCTGAAAGCCTCAGGCTGACAGCTTCACTGAAGTGCCGGCTTATTTTTGAAATATGGCGTGACTCCTCAGGACAACAACAAAAAAAATTCCAAGAACTAATTTACAGCAGGCCAAAGTCGGGCTTCATTTCTCTGAAAACTCAAAGTTCGACTGTGAACCTAAGACTCGACACCAGGTCTGTGTTATTAAAAGAACGGTGACATGTTCAAGTCCCACTTCAGAAACGGCATCATTTAAAATTTAACACTTCAAAAAATGATTCTTTAATTGTACTTTTGCAAAGTGTAATAACAGTGAGAGTCAAAGTAGGAAAAACACCACGAGTTGAAGACCCTGAGATACAGAACACGGGCCTCGGCCTTCATCAGCTCTGTGACATCACTGTGATGTCACACCGTGACGTCGTGACATCACTGTGATGTCACACCGTGACTGCTGTGTCGTCAGCAGGTGTGAAAAATAAAAACAAACTCACGGCTGAGTTTGGACAAGGCTGAGCAGGGTCACAAAGGTCACGACCTAATTAGATAATTAAACTATTTAATATCAACATTATTACTGTTTAATACTTACATTATTATTATTATACAAATTTACATCTTATAATATTTTGATTTTGAAATGAAATTGCTGTGCATCTGTATATTTCCACATCAATTAATTAATTATCACTGTATTTACAGTAGACATAGAATATAAAAAAAGTTTAATTTCATGGAAAATATTGACACGAAATGTTTAAATTTAAAATAAAAAATTAAATAAAAAATATTACAATTGTTTCTGTTTATCTTTTTTAACAAAAAAAATAAACATTAAACTAATAATAACTTGAACATTATTACGTTAACATTCTTATTGTGTTTCATATGTAGCGGTTATAAAACTGTAAATAATCTACGTTAACATTCTTATTGTGTTTCATACGTAGCGGTTATAAAACTGTAAAAATGTCTCCTCGGATTTAATCTAAACTAAGTAAATCCCTGCTTCTATGGGTTTAAACTGCAGCTCTACACCCGTAAGGAAACATTACTGCCACCTACTGGAACCGTTTTAATATTTTTGCTCTCAAGGGTCTCAACCACTTCCATGTGAACAGGAGAACAAGAAGTTACCGAGTCGACGACATTCATGCAGATGCACAAAAAATTAAATTACAGTTTAAAATGTTTTCCATAAAAATTAGATTAAAACAATATAAAACACTGAATCATTAATATCAGTTAATCAGTATAAATAAATATCCCACGGTTCCAGGGTTGAGGTGATAAAAACTCCTGACTAATCTGGATCTGGGGGGTGGATTTTAAAATCAAAAATCCAGATTTACTTGATTTACTGCATCGTCGGCAGCAGCTTAATTACAGACACCGCGAGGGAAATCACTTAAACCGTCGGTCACGCCCTTCACACACACAAACAACTGCTCGTAAACAAACGGTTTAATCCGATTAACTCAGTAAGTCTCGACACCGGTTCGGTCAAATCCTAAGGTGCAACAACGGTCGCGTCGAGAAGTTTCTTATCTTCACTTTATTTGGTTACGTATCAACTTATTTCTGCTCGGACCCACTTCCGGGTAACGAGACATAATAACCACACACAGATGAGATGAAACGTGCGCGTGTTTCCCTCTGAAGGAGAACGCGTTGGGTGAAAAAATTCTACATTAGTGGAAATAGCGCTATGCGCATTCCCATTAACTCCACTGGCGAGGCGGCGAATTCCCAGAAAGACGGGTCTGTCGGGGCAGCACGGTGGGGCGGAGTCTGTGGGATTGTTCCTGGAAAGCGGATAGGGAGAAGCCGCAGCGCTGTT